TAAGCACCTCTGGGAATTGAAAATGGCTCTGAGACTATGTGCACACGGTAACGTTTTCGAGCGTTTTCATGCCAAAACGGTTCGAAACACCGTCAATTTACAATAGAAGTTGAAGCTAACTTATAAGATAAAGCATATTTTTCCTTGGAACGTGTGGACAGGGCGTCAAAACAATAAAATGGACAAAAACGATTTTGAAAACGCTCGAAAACGACGCTCGTGTGCACATAGCCTTAATCCTTAATTTACCATGCTAAAAGTCATCTTAGCTGAACTATGGTGCAAACCCGAACAATATTAATATTCTTGCATATTTAAGTGGTTGCGTTTTTTTTGGGACACCCTGTATAAGTAAACGGAAACGATTAGAAATACATTGTCCTCTCAATTGTTATAAATTCAATGCAGTTCAGAAATTAAACTCGGTTACGCAGTTCCTGGTCCTTATATAGTACGAGTGTACTTGTTTACGAAAAGCACTACTGATGTTTTACAGGTTTTAGGGGGGCCTGTTATTTAATTCAGACGAGGCTGAACACGACCAGCGAACTGAACGGGACTATACCTTTATATTCTTTTAGGGGATTACTTTAGTCAATACAAGTTTTAAATAGAATCCATATATAATGTGGATTTTGAAACATGGGATGCCGCATAAGACCGGCACTGTCGTTTTATGGATATTCGCTAGTTACCTGCCAGTAAAATGAATTCCCTCAGCTTAGAATTTAGAATTAGGATCACTTTAAGACCCAACTATTTTCCATGTCAGTCATCAACACCTCTCAACGTTGATGGTGTGGTACGTCGTTCGGCCTTCCCAGTAAATTAGCATATGAAGCCGGATATATGAAAAGCGGGTTAAATCGGACGATATGAAGGTAGGAATAGAGTTAAAATACCTGTATAACACAAGTTGGAATGTATTTCGAGCGCCTAATATTATATTATCATTAAACTTTTCCTTGTTTCTGATTAACTGATTATAACTATAAGCGTATTTAGCAAAAATTTGAGCACGTCAACAATAGCATATTCTTGCTGATATGATACATAACGAAAAAATATTATATCATATATTATAATTATATAATTATATATTTATTTATCTTAAATATAATGGAGATACCTTTATCTGGTTCAGAATTTTTGGGAACTGATATTCCGCTCACAACCAACAACTGGCAACTCAAACAGAACAACGCTGACGTTAAAATCACTTTCATGCTTTGAGGGCTTCTTTTCATTTTTGGAAAATTAATTGTAATCAGTAAAGTACTTTCGATTTCTTATCGATATTCTGTTATGAAACAAATGGGTTATGTTTGAAAAACGTATCACACACCGTTAACAATCCGTAGTCATTTACGCATTTGGTCATAATCAGAATAAGACTTTAACGTGATACGTTAAGAATTTTCCCAATGAATATAACACAAGCACTTTACGCATAATTAACCAAGCATGACAAACTAACCAGTCGCTTCAAAAATTGACTCTTTAACAATACAAAATTTTGACTTAACTTCAACTGTTATTTTTATTGATACTGTCAACGTTTTGGACTCATATCTGTTTCATCGAATTTTAAATTTAAAAAATTTCAAAAACCATTTTGAAGCTAATATGATCCGCCTTGTACCCAGGGGCTTTAGTATTTTGGCCTTTTACAAGGGCTTTTTAGAAACGAAATATATTAGGCTTAAATGAATAACCTAACAAAGCGTGAAGCGCGAGGGCGTTGATGATAGGATTGCACCTTGTGGAGCGCCTGGCAGATCTTTTTTTCTATTATTGCGCGGATAACGTAGTTGAGAAAGTAGGAATTTATAAAAATTTTAGGCGTCAAGTCGTGCTTGAAGCTTTGACCTTGTGATAGTTTCGGCGATGAGGGTCGTTGAAAATTACAACCGAAATATCATGCTGATCGTCGAGCAGCTCGATCTGTGTTCGTCTGCAGATGTTTTAAAATAATCATGATGAAAATATACACATACAAAGTTAATAAAAGAATTTTGATCTCACCTTGAAGACTGAGTCTATCGAAGTCATCATCGCTAATTTTACACCTTTCTCACGCGTAGTGACTGAATTTTTAGTGTTTTAACGCAGACATAAATGCTCGAATATTACCTGAAAAAAGTTGTAAAAACGTGGAAACGACGATGAATTTATATCACTCGCAAGAAATCGATTTTCAAAACAAAATCTGTCACGCGCTCCCCGTCTTAGCGCAATCTTCCCATCAACACTCTGCCGCTCCACGCTTTGCTGTGTATACATCATTATTTTGAGCCTAATATAATATTGCGATGATAAAAAGCCCTTGTAAAAAGCCTAACCACTAAAGAGTCGGGGTACGAGGCAGAAATACGTACGATAAAGAGTATAGCGTTGATGTCTATATAGTAATTATAATAATTCTAGAGGCAAAAGTGTTTAGTTTGGGTAATTTGCCATAACTTATATGATTTAAAAAATTAGAGACATGACCACAAAAGAAGCGTTCGTTTCAAATTTAAATGACTTACGATAGCAATGTCAGTTTATATCACACCCAATAAATTATTGTAGGTCGGCTACATTTGTCCAACTTTTGCGTTTGCATTGCGAAGTAATCTGTCAAAGGTTTATATAAAATTATTGTTAAAATTTTCCGAAAACTGTTTCCTCAACTATTGGGGTGGATTCTTTTAGAGATACTTCAAATCGAACATACCAAAAAACGAAGTTCTGAAATATGCCGAAAGAAAAGAGTCTGAGTATACAAATTGGGTCTTCATCAGTTGATGTCTTTCGGGGGGAAAATAAACTAAAACTAAATATCTATCGAAAATCTTGTATAGTATGCGCACAGTTACGTGACTAGAACGATAATTGTTTTGGGTGTTTATTTATATATTCAGTTCAGTCCGACGGATTTTGTAAGTTCAATAGGTAATGGTTATATCGAAAACTGTCGGACAAAACTGATTATATAACACCTTGCAATCATCGTTCTAGTATAATTACGCCCCTGTATGCGCAGCCTGTAAATTAAAATTGCTACGAAATCCACGTTCGATGTGTCGCATACGGTTGTCCAAACACACCTGAGAATAACTCATTAACGATATCAAATAACTTAATAAAATAACATTACATTCAATACCTGACTTTTATTTGCAGTCCAAGCCATTTAAGGAGTGAAGAAACTAGGCAGACTTTGCAACGTTGGCACTTCCAAAAAGTTCCAATGACTGAGCCCTCTCCACAAAGCCATTTGTTTGCTCAGAACATTTCACAACTGATGACTTTTTGTGTCCACTGCACCGCGATTATCGGGCTTCCGAGTTACCAAGGCAAGGGGTTGCTGCATGCATGCATTTCTTGTTTAATATTAATAACTTCGTTAATAGCTAGTTGGTATAGTTAAAATTGATCTGGCGTTCACAGATACACAGCCAAACGCTTCAATCAACGTAAAGCAACGTGTCTTTTCTCTCAACATAGGGAGTTTAAGATGACACAAGGAGAAACGGTTACGGACTACGGTTCGTCCAATATTTGTACTCAAAGTGCTTAGCCGCATGAGACAAATTAACAACCGAGCGAACAAAATTTGCATATTCGAATGGTACAGTATACTCGTGGGCGTGCTTGACGGTAGAAACAAGGACAGGCTATTCGCTTCTCAATTTGAAAGCTTCATAGCAAACTTATAGCAAGAGTAAAAAATAGGTACTCAACGAGTGCATAAGAATTTGCAAAACGCATATCAATGTTTTGTTTATTGCGAATGGCGATTGCATGAACATAGACAGCCCAATGTTATGGTTGCCTGCGCACGGGCACATATGGTATAGTGATAGTTATATAATAGTATATAAAACCAATTCCCGAACATTCAAAGCCATTTCCTCAACGTTTAACCTGCTTCTATTCTTCAGTTATATTAAAATTGTGGAGATATTTTAGCGTTTTTAAAGGCAAACGCAGTATGTATTGATAAATGTAGGACGAAATTGTTTCAATGCTCCCGCTACAAGCAATTATATTTTCAAAAGTTCCATAAGTGAAAAATGGAACTATATTAAATGGAGACACCACCTTCAATTTTGTATAAAATCTCGCTCCTTCAGTTTAGCGAATAGGGCTTTTAGGACCTTTCCCACTTGTTTTCCCAGCACAAAATAGCCATTTATCCCTTCGCTTAGCTCTAAAAATTGGCTAAATCTTTAGTTGTTCGTGCATTTACGAAAATAAGCGGTATTTTTTTGCCCAAAAGATCACAAATATTGACAAACTGAATCAACGGTAATAGCGGATAATAGTTTCCGACGGTTCGCGAATTTTTGAGTCTTCGGAAGATATCGTAGTTACTTCACATTCTTACTATCTATCTATCTATCCTAAGGCCGGCGCACACTAGAGCTATGCATATGTGCTTAGCAAAAAGTCATTCGTGGCCATTGGCGTAAGCCAGTTGCTCTCGTGTGCGGTGTCAAGCGAAATCTCTGACCTGTGCGAAATCTCTGACCTCGCGTGACCGGTCAGATATTTCGCGCGTGTACACGCGAAATCTCTGACCTTCGCGAAATTACCGATCTCGGCCGATCTTTATAATCTATATTACATTTATATTTCATATTAAATGTTATATGTTCTAATAGTAAGTATAAAGTATTTCTATTTATAAAGTATTACTTTGTTCTCAAAGAATATGTAAGACAATGTAATTTTCAGCTTTGGTTTAGGAAATATTTGGTTTAGGAACTATTATTATCTTAATTTCATGCAACTGCATTTACATAATTATTTACATCCAGAGGTTAGTTATTTACAATTAAACTATATATTTACACTTAATTTGTACAGGCACAAGTACTACATTTGTAATAAAATACATAAAAAAATTTCTAAACACTCTAATGAAGCTTAACAATAAAAGTTTTCTGCAAGGGCGGTTGCAAAGTCCACACCAATACAGCTTACATGGAAAAATTGACAACATTTGTCACAACCCAGCCAGTCACCTCCACCATCCCCCCTGCAGATTTTGCAGACACTTGCATTTCGTCCACTATAAAAATATAAAAGATTTGACTGTACTCACAAGCCCAATTTTGCTCATTGGTACTCAGTAAAACAAAATAAACATTTGATTTACCTGTCAATGTCATCGTAGCATGACCCACATAAGGTTTCAAATATGTGTTGGCGTTGAATAGCCAAATCAACTGGTCGAAGTTGCTTCGTCATATTTGCCCCTTGGATGAGACATTGTCCAAACTATAAAATAATAATAAAATATTATAGGTTTAATTACATGTTTTGACACACAAGGAAATTAGGCCAAATTTACATGAATGCACATTGTACTGTATAAATAAATACAATTAAAAATTATATTGTCCTGTAATATAAGAATTCACATTAGATCTCTATACAAATTTGTATTATTTGAAATACTCACATAGCAAACATATATACCGCAGTTATATAGCTATCAAGCTGTTTACAGTGGCTAGGTTGCAAATATTTCCATGACCTTGCATTCCATTTGGTCTTGATATGAACCAAATCACTAAAAAAAGAAATGTTTAATCATTATGGTATGAAAGAGCTTATTATTAGTAGTATTACTAAGATTATTAATCTGATTGGTAATGGGTTTTACATTTGATGTATAATACTTTAATTCACACAGACTTTGCTATGCCTTGCCAATACCATACCTTCATACACAAAGTTTCTTGAGAATTCTGAAAGCGCATGGAAGGCCTTTCTCCTCGCGGTCTTCTCCAAATTTTCCAAGTGTGCTGGCATCTGGCGTCCTGACTTCAGGAACTCCAGAACATCTTGTAAAGAAACCTATTTTTATGAAATAACAAGAAAATTTTTTCACAAACAAACTTTATATTCTTTCATGGCATTCAAAATTCGAGAGAAAATAAAAGTCAGAGGCGTCCTGACTAAATTGTGCGGTGTTCGATCACTATAAAATCCAAGTTCTACATACCTTGTGTTTATTCTTTGTTTTAGGCTTTGTATCGACACTGGCAGTATTGATCCCAGTTGTAAAATTAGCCATTTAACAACAATTACAAACGATTAAAAGAAAGCTTTTAAGACGCACCGTTCTGTAGCCGAACACTTGCGAAATTTATGAGCAAAAATAAATCATGCATATCATTGCGCATGTGCAGAAACGCAAAAGTCAGAGATTTCGCAGGTCAGAGATTTCGCGTCACAGCTGTCACAGCTGTCGGGCGACTTTTCCGGTGACTTTGGTCATTCGTGCCACTTACGGCAAATATCTAGCATGTTTGATAATTTCTGCCTCGCGTGCCGAAATCTTTCCGTCGGCAAACTGAAAGCTATCTGCTTATGGGTTGTCTTAACAGCACATGCGTAATATACGAAAGTAAACATCCAAGATAGCGGTGCAAACAAAGCAAAACGCATTGGTGGCTGAGACCATATTGGAAGACAAAATGGTTGATCTTTGTCCAGAATACAGATGTTTATACGATGTGAATAGAAACAGAGAAAACGGGAATGCGCTATTGCAGAAATAGCTAGTAAGCTTTCTCAAACAGGTAATTAATAGCACCTGGATAACGGTGTTTAGTCTATAGTCCGACGCAACAACAACAAAAATAACAACACCTCTTCGTCTTCACTTTCATCCATAATTTTGTTTTTGCAATCTGTACGCCATCTTGGATGTTTACTTTCGTATATTACGCATGCGCTGTTAAGACAATCCATAAGCAGATAGCTTTCAGTTTGCCGCACACGGAAAGATTTCGGCACGCGAGGCAGAAATTATCAAACATGCTAGATATTTGCCGTAAGTGGCACGAATGACCAAAGTCGCCGGAAGAGTCGCCCACACACGAGAGCAACTGGCTTACGCCAATGGCCACTAATGACTTTTTGCTAAGCACATAGCTCTAGTGTGCGCCGGCCTTTACACAGCTAGACGATGACATAAAGGATTTTGCTTAAATAAGAAAAACCTTAAAAAGGAAATGACTAATTTTGCGTAGACATTAGTCTATTAATTTTTGTACTGATGTTGCCTATTGCATAACATTTTCAGTTTCAGTTCAGATTTCAGCTTTAAGTTGGACGTTTCGTATCAAGAGGCATTTTTCGTAGTTTTCCTGCCACTCGGGCAAATTGCTGACATCGTCTTTGAGAAATATTTGCCGATACGCCCATGAGTATATTTTACACCAGCGACCTTGATTATGACACAATAACAGTATTTTTAGTTTTAAAAGCAGAATGAAGAAACTCTAGAAAGAAAGAAAGAAAATTAATTTAAGCTCGAATTCGAATTCCTTTTGTTATAGGTTACCGAAAAGAGATCAGAGTTCTACTCAGTTTTGGAACAAAACAATTGCTAGTAAATATTGATGAATGTCTCTGACCACAGCTGTAATCCATTATACCCCCAGGTGGTACTTTACAACAGGATTTTTAAAACAGCAAGTACAAGTATGACCTCGTTTCTTGAAAATTGTAGTAAGAGCCTTAATTATGGAATATTGAAAGGTGAGAATCTTTAAATACTGAGTATAATGTAGAAACTTACCTATAAACTTACCTCTCTTAATCGTACTTGAAGTTACCTCTCTTACGAAGATATATATAAAAAGTATGAAGCACAATGGCTATTGCCTATTGCGAAATTGCATCCGTAAATGTAGAGAAATGATAATATCAAGATTGAAATCGCATAATTTTATTACGAACAGGGACTTAACTAGAACGATAATAGATGCTAGATAATAGAAGGACAAAGAAATAGATGTTTTATAAAGCTCTCATTTTTATAGTCGTACGTGAGATAAGATTTTATTCGATTCCCATGCAGACCTGATCATGACATTTTTAGTCGTCCTTTGTGATTAAATGCATGATTGTCAAAAAAATTGGCGGTCCGAGTTAGTGTAGAATTAAGATCCACAATCCCACAAAAAAGTATCGGGGCAGACTTAGCAAAATAGATTATTATTGCAAAACGGAGTAAACGAAGTTTCTTTTATTATCAGAAAGCCTGTAGATACAATCAATACTTTTATTTTTCCTGTCTCAGAAGCCACGGAAGAATGGTCTAACCAAAGGAAATCTCATCCAATACTGCAATGCATTCAAAGCAAAGCGTATCGGGATCTACGAGAACGCAGACGTCACTTGGCAATCTCTCATTTTTACTTCAGGATTAACTCGGGTCTTAAAATGAAACATACCTATATAAATTTACTTCGTGAACCCGTAGAACGTTTCATATCTCATTATTATTATGTAAGAAGCCCAAATCGCTGGGGGGAAAAGCTTCGTAAGTTAAAAGCTTTGGGTCATTGGAATGTGACCCTGGAACAATGCATTGAAAATCAGTACGAAGGTTGTAAATGGAACACTATGACCAGATTCTTTTGCGGACCAGATACGTTTTGTCAGAACGGAACCAGCCAAGCTCTGTCGCAAGCGAAGGCCAACATGTTTCGTTATTACTGCAGTATTGGTTTAGTAGAATATTTAAATGAGTTCACGGCTGTTTTGCACAAACGTTTGCCAAACTTTATCTCAAAATATCACAAGATAATAGGCAAGAAATTCGTAACAGTCGGTGTCGAGAGGAAACCAATTAGTGATAGTGTCATGGCCAGACTAAGAATGGTTAATCATGCAGATATTGAACTGTATAATTACGCCAAAACTTTGTTCCTTAAACAAGCCGAGCAATGTGGAATAAAAATAAAATGAACGTCTTCCAAATTAATCTGACCTTGCATGGAAGAGGCCGGGTGAAGTCGAAGTGTAGTAAACAACTTCTATTTTTTTATAACGCAAGTTGCCTTCTGGGCGATCCAGGATATACCCACCCGTACCCTATTTAATTTAAGGAATTTCCATGATAAGGAAGAATCAGCTCAGCAAGAATAGTAAGTGATAGAATTCTTAATTCGGAGGCTTGAGGGCAGATTTGGGGCCCATCTAGATGCGACGTTGCTTGTTGCGATTTTGTTCAAAAAGATTTATTCCTTCGACTTAAATACTAATAATATTCTTAGATTTATATTTTAACTTCAGTTTATTTACACAAGATTCACTTTTCTACGCTCGAAATGTAATGCCCTAACTAAACCCTCAAATTACGTTCTTTTTAAGCCTTTTTATCCATTCTCTCCAAACGTGTCATCATGAAACCCTATATTTTAATACTGCTATAACTGCAGGGACTACTCATTGCGAGAGACGAGTCACTGATTTTATACATTCTTTTTAAGCCTTTTTATCCATTCTCTCCAAACGTGTCATAAACCCTATATTCACTGCTATAACTGCAGGGACTACTCATTGCCAGTGACGAGTCACTGGTTTTATACATAAAAGAAAACATCTTTTTACTATACAATTAGCAATTATTATTGAATAAAATACTACTACTCACAAAGTTAACTGAAACGTAAAACTAGAAAATGCTGACAATGTTCTGCTTATCCAGGTTCGGTATTTCGATTCCACTCATACAAATATTGTACGACACAATTTAAGTATTCGAATATCAAGACATAGCTGACGTACTGCCTCGAGTATTCATTGATTCACTTGGTTGACTAGACATGGAAGCATCCATGTTGCTAAATGCAGGGTTGGTCCTCTCGTTTACCAGCACTGTCTTCGGATATTGATATGATGAACTTTCAGCATATGCTCCAATTGGATAGGCTGGTTCTCCATGCTTGCTTATATCAAGACCTGGAAGACGAAATAGTGTACAAAAATGAAACTTAATATTGCAGCAATTTTTTAACAGAATACGTAATTGTGAAAGATAGAACATAAATCTCCCAATCCTATATCCCAATATCCTAGCCCTGTGATTTTCAATAGGAAGAACCGTAGGAACGAGACTGACCATCATATTTTATTTGCAACGTTTGCAAAACTCATGAAAATTTGCAAAGTGGGTATTGATAATTGGTGCATGGTCTTTTGTAAAAATGAGCCAGCGTATGTAAACTGTTGCGAGGCGTAAGTGATATTACAATGAATTGTTTCAGATTTGAAAATCACCTTTCGCTTCAGCTTCAGCTGTTACTTTCAGTTTCTTGAAGAATCTGAGACTTAGAAAAAGTATTGCCGAGATCAAAGCAGACCAGACAATTATCGCAACACCACCAAGGAGATTCCAACCGAGTATTTTAAAACTGAGCTTATCACCAACATACAATATACCATCATTTTTGTCCAACAGAGGCGCGGCAAGAAGCCCCCACATTCCGCCACCTAAATGAACTGAAAAAATTTAAAGACTTTAATTCGAAGTTGCTTAAAATTCAAAGGTGCTGGTGCATGAAACAACATCAGCACATATAGGTTATGGAAATAAAAAGTCGAAATGAGATTTATTGATACATTTAACAATGCTCATCCGAGTGCGGATAAGATCCTCAAAAATAGACCGAAAATTGATTACCCATGTGAATGTATAATCGATTATCAGATCTCGGAGTGTTTGCAGCAATTAAATTACACCTTAATTATTTTTTAGTACATGTGCCACAAATGCTTCTAATTATCCTCCAACTGTCCTATGTAAACTTGTCAAAATTGTGTCGTAAGAAAGAATTTAATAAACCTCTTGTTTTGAATCGCCAGCGGGTTTGCATTTTGATGAAAATAATTCTGGGAAAACGTAACGAGAAACAATTCGGATAATGAATACCTTTCCATAGAAACTACCTTTTATTTAGACATAGTTGTAGCGATTTGGTCATTTTCAAGTATTTCGGATCGCCCCATTGGCAATCTGGTATGTTAAGCACAAAAACGACTGTGAATAATTATGCTTCATCATGTGATCATTTCAAATAAGATTGTCATTGCCTCATGATATGATTGAATAACCATATTTGAATTACCTGAGGTTGCCGTCACTGGATCATCGACTTTTAAATGGAGAAGTACGATATCCCAAGCGATATAGGTGGCCCCAGCAATGAAACCGACAATAAAAGCTGCATAAGGATGCATCTCGTTGCCACCGGCACTAATAGACACCTAGAAACACGCACGAATCAATTGATCAAAGATAGGGTCCACCGCGGTCGAGCCTATCATAACTGAGACGAAAAATGTTTTCTGGCCATTGGCAATCACGAGTAGCTGGTTTTAAATATGCATTTAAATACGATACAATTAGAAATTAAAATGAAACGTATTACTAAATGAGCACTAAATGAATTGAATTGTAAATTTAGCGATAACTGCATGGAAATAATTTGCTCTATCAGAATGAGTTGGAATCAACATTTAGGCCAACATTGGGAAGAAGTTTTTATAGCATTGAAAATTTTTATTCTCTAAAATTTTATACCGTTTTCCTATCACGTGCATGCCCTAAGTGGTACTGTTTTTCATTCATTGGAAAATCTACCTGTTATATAACAAAATAATCAACTACTGGATTAAAGTAAATGAAAAAGCGCATTTTTCACTTTAAACGTATCGTAACATGCCACGGCATATTTATTTTTCTCATTAGTTTGGTTTGATTTGGTCTGATTAGTTTAGTGTGGGAACGCAGCTAAGTTATGGAACTATTTGTTTGGAGTGAAAAAAACCCTTGAAACTATACAGGTACACTTGAAATCTAGAACTTGTATTTGCTGGAATACCGTTCGTTTAGCTGGGCAATGATTTCTTCGCTGTGCAAAAACCTTATTGTTGCCGTCTGCGGTTTCCATACGCATGAAAAATAGAACCGAACAAAACGTATAATTCGCTAATATCATCTTACCGCTCCAGTCAATGCTCCATTGATCATAGTAAGCACACTGGAGTGATGACCATAACATGCTCCCCAAGTTCGACGGATGAAAAACGCCGTCAATGCCCCACCGGAAGATGACAGTATCGTGTTGATTGCAATTAGAGCTATTGCTTCAGTGTCGCCACGGGATGTCACGTGCCCTTGGTTTCCGCAAATAACAGCGAGAAAACCAAGCAAACAAACGTATCCTCCAAACGCAGCAAGCTAAACGCGAGGTGTACATGTGCATAAAATTGATTAAACGTCTTCATTGTCCCCAGGAAAGTGTTTATGTACGTAAAATTATCACATAGTTTCTCTATCCACATTAACTACTTTTAAATTTGTTTAAGCCATAATGCACATGATTCAAGATGGCTAAATATACATTTACGAATACGATGGTTAAAAAAATTTCTTACCGGAACAGTGTGTCCGCCTATAGGAACTGGTTTACCACGTTCAAATCTTCCACATCTTGGTCCAATTACGGCTGAGCCTACCAAAGCCATGGTGCCTGCAGTGACATGAATTACACCACTGCCTGCAAAATCCTGCAAATGTTCATGTATAGATATAGATAGATCACAGGAAGCCAGTGATATTTCAATTTTGAATTCATTATTTTTGCTTTAAGCAGCTTCTCAGGGCAAAACAAGAATTGGTGATTAGCAATTACTGAACTTTTTAAAAAAATTTTGACTGACTTTGGCTAAGATTTTACGATTGTGGTGTACCACTTAAGGTAATTTGCATATTTATAAAATTAGAAGTATTGAAATATATTGAAGTAGAAATGTATGATTGTTGTAATTCGCGTTCACAGCGCAGACATTCACATGCTAGGTTCGCTTCAGCAGTCGTTTCGGAGTTTAGATACACGTCCGAAAAGAAAGAATTTTTTACCGAAGTTGATTTGAATATATTGCGGCAAAACTCTTGCTCTTTTCTACCATAAAACTAAGCTCCAAACTAAGCTCTCATTTTGCACACTGAAGCAGATCTGTGCTGTGAACTAGACTCTAAAAAACAGATATTATTATGTTAAGATATTTCGATATTTTCAATTTCATAAATAATTATGCAAATGGTGTACCACCTTAGGTATTTGGTAAAAACCTAGGGTTCCCCGTTTTGTGCTATGAGCCCACATATTTTTCTTCCTGATAGCTGCGAAGTTTCGCCTACCTGAAAAGAGACACCTTCTCCAAGAGTTTCATCGTCGCCTTTCTTGAGCCAGCCTTCCTCGTGCCAACACCAATGAGTAACAACGGGGTAAATGAAGCCTTCAACAAAGTGAGTTATTAGTAACGACGCAAAAGCTGCGCAAACAATTAATTCTCATAAACGTCAGGATCGTTGAATATCATCACGGATGTTCAACAAAAGAGATTCCTCCTCCCCCCCTCTCAGGCTAAAAGCATTGAAATTATTTATTATTCATTTGATACTTGATCACGTGGTCTGTGCAATAATAACAAGAAACAGAGCTGCATGGCTAGTAAGGTAGTAAAGTTGCAGGGGTTTCAAATTTTTAACAGTTTTGGGGTACTCGAAAATGAATTAATTCGACAGATTAATTTAGAGTGTAAGCACCGTGCGAGGATACTAATTTCGCCCGGAGGTTAGGAATTACACCCGGGTATTGTGACAGAACATAGCGGGATCAAAAGTTGTCAAAATTCTATGCCATGGTCGTTGGATTCCGGTTTTGTGACATATGCGCTTACGCGAGTTTTGAATGAGCGGAAGCTGATCAGCAACTTTCTGACTGGCTGAAAATTTGTGTTTCAAAAATAACGTCAGCATTTATTAACTGCAAATTTGCGAAAGTTTTTTATGAAACTGTTTTTAAACATTACATGCCAAATAGAATGGGTTTAATTAAAAATCTAATAAAAATCATCATTGGGATTCAATGAAAATCATCAAGAAACATTTATCAAAAACAAAGAGGGTTTCCCGTCAAGATTAAAAAGCGGAAAAGGAATGATTTACGCTCTATATAAAGCTTTGAAATGTTTCAAATCGGTACGTGTCTATATAGTATAGTTGCTTATAATATTCTGTGTTTGCATCTTGAAGAAGGATGAAGTTTATTTATATATGAGCTGGATACGTGGTTTTCTAAAGTCATAATTATTAGGCTATGAAAGGCTTTTACACCATCTCTTAAGCTTCAAAGAGGCTTTTTTTAAGCTTTTTTTAAAACCAAAATTTCTATCTTATTGTAAACTGTCGCTTCAAAATCAAAGCTTTTACAATCAACGGCAGTAACTGTAAAAGCTTTTACAGTAAAGAATATTTTTGAGCTTCTGTATACTTAAAGATTTTGTCACCGGTTTGATGTTTTTCTGAAGCCTCAAATGTTGAAATTTAAACCAGTTACCTAAGTTGATTGGGTCTAAAAACACCTGTGGAGAACGGGTTACATCACCTTCAATTGTTTTTTACTATATTTTGTACCAAGTGATAAGAATATTGGCTATCGACGCTTTGCCTTTGAGTCATCAATAATATAAACTTGTAGTTATAGTTAGAACAATGCAACCTAAAGGCTCCTAATAGCATCAACTTACCTGACATCAATACCGTAAACAGCGTGTACACGGTAAAGTTTGTCCTTTCGGCGAGAGCACCACTTACAATCGAACAGGTGAAGGCAGCGAGGGTGAAGTGCAACAACCAATGAACATAGATATTAGTTGATTCAGGAAGGTCCGACAGGGCGAAATTACTGTGGCTGAGAAACAGATTACTTTTCTCTCCCCACGCAAACGCGTAACCAAACAACCAATACATCAGTGCGCATGTGACTAGAAAAAAACCGGAACGATGTAGACTCGGAGGCCTGACACGAACTTGGGCATCAAATTCACATGTCATTACATTATATTATACTTCACACTTTGAGAACGCCTAGTCAGAAAAACTTGTATGAAAACTTGTACTTAATTTAATGCTAGGTATTTGCAAAAAGATAATCTAGATTACATTTGGGGTCCACAAATTCACTACTTTGCATCCCTAAGTCGCGTAGGGATGTCACATGGACCCTCCTTCGGTAAACTACGAGTGGCTGTTCCACTGACCTCTATAAGGTGAGTGAGCCAACGAAGCCAAAAAGTCATGTCAACGTGTTTCAACTCGTACAGATTTTCGCCTTAAACCAGCGTTTAAAACGCGGTGTAGAATCAAATTGTTGTTCTCTTTGGAACCCGTCTCTCGTCAATTTCTCGTCAAAATACGATGCTTTGTGTCCGGGTATTATCAAGTATAATATGTAATTCTTTACAGAATACTCACATAAAATAATCATCTTCTTTATAATGATATCAGTTGTATTCTTCAATCTCGATGCTCCAGCCTCGAGGAACGCTAAACCCGCTTGAATAACTATATACCGGAAAAAATACACGGTTTTGCAATGCCACAGCCATAACGAATCTTAGTTTAGGCTTGTAGACGAAATCATGGTTTTTAGTTGACTTAAACATGAGCGATATAATTATTACCAAGGGTCGTGCAGAACTGCATGCGCGTTAAAATGATATTGCAATTGAAAAATGAAAATGAAGTAAGTCACTAATAAATGACCAATAAAAAAGCCCAGTATTTTTGTTTTTAAAATAGCAACGGTTTGCTTTGCATGATCAATACGATTTTCAACGCTATAATGTAGGTATAAGAGCGAACTGCATGCCTTAGAAAATTAACCAAATAAAAGCTCAGACAAACCTATCGGATGTTGTTCAGTTTAGATAATTCAAGTTGAATCAGTCTCAAATATCCTCACTTGGCCGACGCAATATCGCAGAAATGTTGTCTTACGTAGCTATCGCCGAATGACAAATTATAGTAATTACATAATTCTCTATTATTATGGATGAATGTATCTCGCGCATTCATATTCGTAAAGTTTAAGCAGACTTAAGAAATCTTCTGAGAGCGAGCTTAACTTATAAATGATCCGCCGCCCAAAAATTAACAACTATAGAAAAAGAACACCCTAGACACTTTGAAATGGACATCGTTTTTCAAAGGAACTCTATAATAACAGTGTTTTCTTTGTCACTTGGTATAATCATACATTTTGTAGTATTATAAATCGAGGTACTATAAAGTGTGAGAGAGCACATTAAAGTGACAAAGAAAGCATTAAAGCCAAAAAGAGAACATTAAGTTTAATTTGAAACACTATTATGTCCACACGGAGTTAATGTGACATAAGTGTGCATTGTCGACCCATGAGACAAAATTGTGTGACGGACAATTATTTTTAAATTTGTATTTATTTGCCAAATAACATTTCGATCAGCCCAATGTGGAAATAAAATGCATCTGTCAGGAAACGAAATACTAAACTCGAAAAACGAGATACGACGTATATAGCTATCTTTGCTATTTTTCTTGATGTAATCGCGGCATCGGCCTGTCTATTTTTCATAATAGGCTCTATTATGGACAAGAAATCATCACTAAAATTAAACTTATTTTTAACAAGTCGTCTAGTAGCCGATAGTCGCATGTGGCATGTCATAAACAACAAAACAATAAACGGAAATGCAAAACATTTCAAAAGATATCAACTTACAGAAGATGAAGAACGAGATGACCAAGAGGAAGAAATTATCGACCGACGACACAGCTGGATTCTGCGGAACAGCCATTTTGAAAAAAAATTCCCGTAGCTATAAATGTCTCGGCGTCCTTTCCGATCTGTATTTATAAACCACTGGGCTCACTGCCGTGGTTTTATCTTCGACGTTACTTGGAGGAATTAAGAGATAATTCAAACACCCCGGTAAGTTTTGGCCTGTGGACTATTTTTAAAATAGTCTCAGGTAGCGAAATTTTTGTGATGCTCTTAGAAGAAATAAAACATCTTTAATACATGTGTCAAAAAATGCTTTGGTTAACGCTATTAGTCATGTATACATTTGTGGTTGTTATGGGCAACGACGAACCGTTAAATAGTGCATATATATATAAATTTAAATAAAACAGGTACAAGTCGCAATTAGTGACGTCGCGAATATAAACATGCACGTATCTTTGAGTTATATATTTGCATCTTACTTTATCGTTTTGCAACGTTTTCACTATTTTTGTTATTGTTGGAATTTTCAGTGAATTTTTCTTCTAATTCCGTGGATATTATCTGCAACTTAGCCCTGGTGACCGGGCCCGAAACTAGAGCGATAATTTGGAGGGTGAATGTTCGCATAATCTGTTCTGCCCGCTGGAGTTGTTTTGAAAACGCATATCGCCCCCATGCACGTCCCTGCCCATTCCGGCCCTCCCATCACTTAGCTATAAAATTCATTTTAATATAACACTTTACAATGTAAATAATCTTTAGAAGATTGATCTATGTTTTACTAAAATATAGCCAAAGAGCAGCGTGCCATGCAGCGTCTTTGTGTGCTTTAAAATCGGTCGGGAAACATGACAAAGCTTTTCGGCCATTCGGAGGAGCGTTAATGTTAAATGCGTCGGTATAATCGTACATGATAGCTCTTAATGCCGGTTTTCCACTAGCGATATTTTTCGCGCGAAGCGACTTTATTCCTTTGTATTTGAGCAATTTGTTCCAGATGGTTGCATTTGAGAGCTCTGGAACAAAAGTAAAATGTCGATTCGCGCGAAAAATATCGCTAGTGGAAAACCGACTTAAGTCGGAACAATCATTAACTACTTAGAAGTCTGGAACTAGACAGTTCATATACACATTTTCAGCCTCGTATCCCGCATATCAGCCCAATATCCTCATACGCAGCCTCGTATCTTCATTCGCAGCCTTGTATCCTCATTTGCAACCTCGTATCCTCATTCTCAGCCTCGTATCCTCATTCGTAGTCTCGTATACTCATTTGTAGCCTCGTATCCTCATTCTCAGCCTCGTATCCTCATTCTCAGCCTCGTATCCTGATTCGCTGCCTCGTATCCTCATTTGTAGCCTCGTATCCTCATTCTCAGCCTCGTATCCTCACTCATTCGCAGCCTCATATCCTCATTCGCAGCCTCGTATATCCTCGTCAGCCTCATATCCTCATTCGCAGCCTCGCATCCTTATTTTCAACCTGTTGGAAATTGGCAATTTTGTTATTTTTAACTTAAAATTGCAGAAACCTAGCCTGTTTCAGATACAAGTAGTGCTTTTTTAGATCGAGTTGCAAATTTCTTTAAAGTTCTAACTATAGAAAAAATAATCAATTTTGTAGAATGCCATCATTTATTGGGAGGATCAATTGAGTATAGCTACGGGGTGATAAAATACATTGAATCATTTTGTAGTTTCATTTAAAATTCCATATATATGAAGCATTAATTTTTAATAATATTTTTATGGAATAGTGTTTAATATATTAGCATGATAGCATTATTGGACGTTGATTGATGTGATGAGTAAAATTATTTTATTAATTCTACTATAGTCAAATGATTGATTTTGGAAAAGATATGTAATAGCATACAAAACTATTTTCATAACTAAAATCTAGGCATCCGTCGAGGAACCCGTTCGCTTCAAATGAAATGTTATGAACAGCTGGGAACGACAACACAATAACCAAATCGTGAAAATCGTTAAAAATTTCTGTCAGACGGAGTTATAGGCCGAGGTTTCACCTCCGTCTCACCGCGACTATTCGACCTCGGTCTGACCTCGGTTCAACCGCGATCAGGTTTAACCGCGAGCAGGTTTAACCGCGGGTTTTGTAAGGTTATTTCCGGACAGTACTGTAAGTTTGGCAGGATTGTGTTTGATAAAAGCTGTAACTTTGGCGGCTTTTGTACAACCGGCAACCGTCCACTGATGCATAATGATTCTCCACGAGAGGTTGCTCAGGTTGCATGTGCAAGTCGTGGAGAGAATTGAGGGTCGCATGTTTTTCTCTTCCGTGCATGTAGAAGTATATCTATAAGTAGATATGTATCTTATTTGGCATGTGCATTGGGTTAAATACACTATAATCGGCAAAATCACTTGCAAAGAAATTCGAATATAAAAGCAAAGTAAATATCACTTAATCCCGGCGTAATGAATAACTCGTCGCTTAGTAACCGGTGTTACGGTTGTCATGAGAACGACAGCCTAACATGTTGGTGTTAACATTTTGTATGAGACGAAGCATTCATATAGACATATACGTGATACGATATGATTTTGAAACGTCGTGACTTATTTTGGTGACCGCAACGAATTGATTTTTGTACTACCGAGTGAAATAGCATGGTCAAAGACAAAGTCGATCTTTGGAAATGCCGAGTTCCGGGCTCGTTCGTATCGTTTATATAACCATATTCCTGTCGTTCAGTATAAATGTTGAGCATAGCCATAGTCTATCTGCTCAGACTTTGAACATTGTGCGAACTTCAAGCTCAAATGCTACTATTAGCACAGAGAATTCGAGAGTCAGACAAGGTAAGATTATTATTTTAATACTCCTAATCGCCGAGCCAATGTGACATGTTGACTTTTGATCTTGACTGTGGCCATATATTTCATATTCATATGTCTGTGATGTCCGTACGAGCTTAATGTGATGTCCGTACGAGCCAGCCGGACTTAATGTTGTGAAATTTCTTTACAAACGCTATGAATTTTAGAAAACGTCAAGACACATGCATCAGTTCCCACGCAAGCGACAAATTCGCTTAATTTAAACTCGGACAATTGAAGTTTATCGCCCCCCACGTCAATGTGGTCGTATACTTGAATAATAAGTTTTCGGACGGAGTATACGACCTCTTTGGCTTTGCCTTTGGCCTTGTGTTTGTGTCGGTTTTGAATTTGGTTTTGTATATCTAAAGCGAATGGAAATAAAAAATATATCTAACAAAAGTGCTAACTGTTAAATTCGTGCGTAGCTACGTACTCCTTTATTTGTAAATGCTGCATGCTTTATATATTCAATTTATGTATTGAATCTCAAGCTTGATTTCTGGAGAAATCGTTTTTAAAGCCCACGAAACGCGATACTCTTTAATTATCTTTGATACTATATATGTTTCAAAGCTGTTCAATTTCTCCCACACCGTTTATGTTATAAAACGTATATATATTATGACGATTTTTTAAGCAGCTTTGTAAATATTCGATAATTGTCCTATGCTTATGCCACAGCTATTAACAGAACAATCATAAACATATACATTTTGAATATAATTCATTTTGCAACGTCTTAAAATGCAGCTGCAAAAAATAAAGGCCAATCACCAATGAATTTTTCCCTGCGAATTCTCCTTCTTTTGAGCTGTTTTGAAATCAGATATATGCATGAAGCAATTCGGTCTGGGCGCCGGAAATATGTAATCGGAAATGAAGGGGCATTTTATTACTATGACTGAGGTTTGGATGTGGATCATTGGTTTGTGATTAGGAAAAAGTTGTGTCATTGCCAAGACTTAGAACCGAAACTAGTTGCGATAATTTGGGGCCGGGGGGGAGGAGTATATTCATATACTCGTTCTATCCGACGTGTTTATTTTCAAAGTCACATGTTCGTCCATCGGGAAGAACGAATGCACCATGCCATTATGGCACGTAGTTTCGGCTCTGACAAATTTGGATCTTGCTTGCTCAGAACCCAGAAGCTCGCAGGTGCAGGTGCATAGGCAACATTTTGTTGAGCACTAATTTTGCAAACCTTTCTCGCATTGATCAGTAGTGCCACAACATGACGTTGAATTTGGGGGGTTATTACTGATATATTGGGCACTGCACTTCCTGGTGGTATATATATATATATATATATATATATATATATATATATATATATATATATATATATATATATATATATATATATATATATATATATTCAGCGCAAAAAATTTTAAACGCGCGCGCAATTTTTGAATTGTATCAGCGCAAGCACGTTAAAAACGTCATCACACAAACTTTAACTGCTGTAGAGTAATCATTCGCCTGACGATCGTTTCAGAAGAAACGTGAAACACAGAGTGTAGCGAACAATATATTCAAAATTTTGTAATATTTCATTGATTTTATTTTAATCGCTCTATTAAATTTTGATATCGAGCACTCTTTCTTCTTGGATACTTTACTTAATTGTATATATATATATAATATATATATATATATATATATATATATATATATATATATATAATATATATATAATATATTATAATATATATAATATATTAATACATGTAAATCGAAGTAGAAAAAATTCTAAATTTAACTCCCTACATGCTCTTAAAAGAGAACTTGCACAATAATCTTTATAGTATAAATGCTGAATAACGCGAAAGCAATTATATCAGTAGGTGAACTGAGAATTAAGCTAATGAAATTAGTATTTCTGAAAATTCGCCTCAAATGGAAGTACACAAACACAACGAATCACCATCACTATTAAAGGGCGTAATGTAAATACACGCAGTCTTGAGATTGAAAATCGCGCGGGATTTTGAATGTTAATACAGCTTTTTACTAATCATGCATTTTTATAAAAACTGAGCTGAAGTTTATATCATCACTCATCTATGACGTGTAAATATTTGCTCGCACATATGTATATCTTCATCTGCTGTATTTTGTGAGTTTAGAAACAACGAGATATTGTTAAATTGCGGGACCCACGCGACAAAATCTTCAATTGCAGGATGAAAAATTGTGCAATTAGACATAACGATATTCTCTTATTTTAGTTTCGGATTCCATCACAACCGTTCGGTATTCAACCAATGTTATCGGGATAATATCAGGAGCGAGTACAACATTTGTACCATTTACAACATTAACATATTCAAGCGTTAATGTGGCGTCAGACACAAAAAACCTTAATAATATTGCTGAGATTTTGTCAACAACACACTCTAGTTACGTTGCAGCAGCAACACCAATTTACCTCCCAACCACCACAGCAGCAACACTAAATAACCTCACAACTACCACATCAGCAACACCAAATAACCTCAAAACAACCATCACAAAACAACAAGCAACAACCACCACAGCACAACCAAATAACCTCACCATAACCACAACAATAACAACCAGCAACCTCCCAACCACGCAGCAGTAACACCAAATAACCTCACAACAACCACATCACCAACATCAAATCACCTCACAACAACCACAACAGTAACAACAAGCAACCTCCAAACCACGACAGGAGGAACACCAAATAACCTCACAACAATCACAACAGTAACAACAAACAACCTCCAAACCACCGCAGCAGCAACACCAAATAACCTCACAACCACCACAACAGTAACAACAAACAACCTCCAAACCACCGCAGCAACACCAAATAACCTCACAACCACCACAACAATAACAACAAACAACTTCCAAACCACCGCAGCAGCAACACCAAATAACCTCACCATAACCACAACAATAACAACCAGCAACCTCCCAACCACCGCAGCAGTAACACCAAATAACCTCACAACAACCACATCACCAACATCAAATCACCTCACAACAACCACAACAGTAACAACAAGCAACCTCCAAACCACGACAGGAGGAACACCAAATAACCTCACAACAACCACAACAGTAACAACAAACAACCTCCAAACCACCGCAGCAGCAACACCAAATAACCTCACAACCACCACAACATAACAACAAACAACCTCCAAACCACCGCAGCAGTAACACCAAATAACCTCACAACAACCACAACAGTGACAACAAACAACCTCCAAACCACCGCAGCAGCAACACCAAATAACCTCACAACCACCACAGTAACAACAAGCAATCTCACAACACCCACAACAGCAATACCAAATAACCTTACAACCACCACAGCAGCAACACCAAAATTCACAACAACCACAACAGTAGCAACCAGCAACCTCCAACCACCACAGCTGTAAAACCAAATAACCTCACAAACCACATCACCAACATCAAATAACCTCACAACAAACAGTAAACCAAACAACCTCCAAACCACCACATCAGCAACACCAAATAACCTCACAACCACCACAACAGTAACAACAAGCAACCTCGCAACACGCACAACAGTAACACCAAATAACCTCCCAATCACTACAGCAGCAACACCAAATAACCTTACAACAACCACAACAGTAACAGGAAGAAACCTCACAAGAACCAAAACAGTAACAACAGGCACAACCACAACCAAAACAAACAACCTCACAACGGTATCACCTACCGCGATACTTACCACACGAAGTACGCCAAAATTTTCAGCGACGAACATGTTGTCCAGTGCACATATGATATCGAGCGTAACAACAACTGGTTTAGTTTCACGAAGTTATTCAATGAATTTCACGGCAACACTAAGCCGTAAAATTTTCACCAGCCGTAAAATTACAACATTTGAAGTGACCAGAATGTCGTCACCAGTGACTGATGACGTATTAATACCATCGTCGACCTTATCAACTGCTGTTTTCGAATCATCTTCCTCCACTGCGATGACAACCATCGATTCAATTCAAGAAGTGGTGACACCAAGCACAACCACAGCAATGCCCGCTGCATCCGTGTCGTTCACTGTTACAGCAGAATCATCACCAAGTTACACCACATCTGCTATTTCACCAACAAATAATACCCTACAACTCGTGACATCTCATTATTCTATCAGGACGTCAAACAATTCAACAATCAATGACTTTGTACCATCCACAATTGTCGCATTGCCACCTAGGAATGAAATGTCTACAATGGTATCATCTTTGACATTCAGAATGGTCAGGTCTGACTCCACATTGATGGCAAGCAGCAACTCAACTCGAACTGTTCCAATGCCCAGTATATCTGGGCCGTACACTCTTAGAGCAATAATATCACCAAGTTCTTCCAAGGCTTCTATTTCACCAACAAATGATTTCCAAACAACCATATCAACAATTGTGGCATCATTTTCGGTCAATACAAAGAAAACAGCCACATCACCTTCTACCTTGGAAATGACTGGCGTCGAATCAACTGTCTTCAATACAATGTCAAATAGAGATTTTACGCCAACTCTAACATCACCTTTTGTGGATAAAACTACATTAGGCGCGTCTGCCATGTTTAGTTCACGTTACTCGATTGATACTACATTATCGCTCAGTAAAATAACCACTATGAACAACTTTACGTCACCGCCATCCTTTATAATGTCGAAATTTTCCACAAAAGCGAATACTTCCTTTACAACTACAGGAATTGGTAGCATGATATCAAGTTATCCAACTATGGGATCTCTTACGAAAACAATAGCAAAGAGCAGTGCAGCAACAATAGCAGAGACCAGTTCAATGATGGAATCAAGTTATCCAAAACTGACTGCAACACTGACTGATTCTATATCCGAAGTTTATTCGACGTCGCTAATGACTGCTGTCAGATCAACAACCCACATGGACACCATCACGCCAACTGTGGCACTACCAGGTAAAACAAACAGGGCACCTGTACCATCAACAAATCCATTTATTATGTCACCAAGCTTAAGTTATGACTACTTGTCTACAACTATCGAGGGACATAATATTACAACAACCAAACTGGCATCAAGTTTAAACGTGACGGAAATATTGACGGATTATTCACCAAAAACCACTTCTACGTCAACAGTGACTGTTATCCGATTGTCAAGCTTCACTGAGAAGCTAACCACGATAAATGCGTCTCGCGGTGGATCAGAACTGTCCGCCAAGACATCAAGGTATCCCTACATTACCCTGACTCCAACGAGTAGTTACCAGGCAACTATGGTATCCCAGCATTCAACAATTTCCTCCCGTCATTTAACATACTCTCTTTCAACCAGTAATACTTCCAACTTGGGAGAAGTTATGTCATCAATTTCCCTAAACGTGACTAAATCATCAACTGAATATATACCAGCATCATCTTCGAAACCGTTGGTAACTGGTTCCAGATCATCAAGCTTCATTCTGATGTCAACTAGAAATGTGTCGAGAAATGGGTTAATAAACGTAACCTCAAAAAATGATTACCAAAGTCCCATCTCATCCCAACATTCAACAGTACTATCTCATGATCAAGAAAATCCCTCAACTACGCGTAACTTGTTCACAAGTACTATAAAAGCGTTTAACGAATCTCTTACAACATCGAACTTGGTAGAAGAGATTAAATCAAGTTTTCCAACCAGCATTGAAACATCGAATTATTATCTTTCAAAAACACCCGTGACAACCCCAACGGCAAGTGTGAGATCATCAAACCACACTGTGACGGTAGCTGTGACGGTCAGCGCAACAACAAGAACGCACAATATATCTAAGCCAGCTACAAAGACAATTGTGATACCATCATATCAAACTCTGTTCCCCAGTTCGACAGGAGATATGGCCTTTGGCAGCTATCCGCTTCCCACCAGTATGCCAGCTAGTACCTTCCCAATTCCAAATGTAACATTTTATATGTCCAGTTTGACGAATAATTTGACCTTACAAAGTTCTCAAAACAAAAATCTCTCACAAGCCGGTACTGCAACGGGCATGGTTAAATCTATTACGTCATCGTCAGCGCTGGTTTTTACAAAAGTATTTCGTGTCATTTCGTCAACAACGATAGCCTTGTCCACTACCAGTAGATTCAATGCATCAGATTATAAATCTATATCTTCAAGATTTGCAACAACGTCTTATAGGGCTACGCCGAGCACAAGTTCGCTTCAGGTAAACACTGAAGTGCCGAAATCTATGATTTCAACATTTACACTGAAGGAGACTCCTGTAGAAAACAGCCCCTCGCCTTCATTAGCCTTGTCTACTACCAGTAGATTGGATGCATCAGATTATAAATCTTTATCTTCACACGCGACAACGTCATATAGGGCTACCCCAAGCACAAGTTCGATTCAGGTGAACACTGAAATGCCGAAATCTATGATTTCAACATTTACATTGAAAGAGACTCCTGTACAAGAGAGTTCCTCGCCTTCATTAGCCTTGTCCACTACCAGAAGATTGAATGTATTGGTCTATAAATCTATATCTTCACAATTCGCGACAACGTCATATAGCGATACGCCAAGCACAAGTTCGATTCTGGTAAACACTGAAGTGCCAAAATCTACGATCTCAACATTTACATTGAAAGAGACTCCTGTACGAAACAGTTCCTCGTCTCCATTAGCCTTGTCTACTACCAGTAGATTGAATGCATCAGATTATAAATCTTTATCTTCAAGCACAAGTTCGATTCAGGTGAACACTGAAATGCCGAAATCTATGATTTCATCATTTACATTGAAGGAGACTCCTGTACAAGAGAGTTCCTCGCCTTCATTAGCCCTGTCCACTACTAGAAGATTGAATGTATCGGTCTATAAATCTATATATTCACAATTCGCGACAACGTCATATAGCGATACGCCAAGCACAAGTTCGATTCTGGTAAACACTGAAGTGCCGAGATATACGATCTCAACATTTACATTGAAAGAGACTCCTGTACAAAACAGCTCCTCGTCTCCAATAGCCTTGTCCACTACCAGTAGATTGAATTCATCAGATTATAAATCTATATCTTCACGATTCTCGACAACGTCAAATAGCGATATCGCAAGCACAAGTTCGATTCGAGTAAACACTGAAATGCCGAAATCTATGATTTCAACATTTACATTGAAAGAGACTCCTGTAAAAAACAGCTCCTCGCCTGCATCAATATATTCGTCAACTGTGTTGGTAGCAGTCAGTAATGTTGTCACTCAAACAGCAAGCTCCCATAAAATTACTCCTAATTTGAGTGTAACTTTATTCTCCAAAATCAAATCTTCAATGGTCTTCCCATCAACAACAGACACTGCATTATCTACTCACACGCCAAGAGTGAGGTTTACCCAAACCTTTACTCCATCATTACGTTTCACGTCAGTCCCCACGGCAGTTACTTCTCGGGAGATTTCATCGCCCTGGATATCATCTTCTTCTCCCTCGCAGTCATCAAATCCATCGTCAGAAGTCAGATTATCATCATTGGATCAAAAATCTGACCAGTCTTTGATTCAGCTGCCCAGTTCCACACCATTGGTTGAATCTTCAATGAGCAGTTCGTTGTCGAGCGAAATATATTCTACGCTTTTTAATCCAGAATATAAGACTTCGGAATATTTGACAAAAAGTGTTACAAGTATAAGTCAAAGTGTTTCGTCTCCTGAATTGACAGTTACCTCGGAGAAAGGGTCAGTGCCAAGCATGAAATCGTCGATGACATTAGTTACAGCAACAATATCAGTGCAATCACAAATGGACAGCACCAGCAGCTCGAGTCGTGCTCACATTACTAGTTCTCTAGCTTCTGTAACTTCGAAAGATGATGCAAAATCCATATTCAGCAAAAAATCATCAATCCAAAATACAAGAATGACACAGCCATCTCTCTCCACTTTAAGTAGAAGCTCGATTTATTCCTACAAACAGCTTTCTAGTTCAGTGTTATTGGAAGTAACTTCAACGAAAGCCACCAGAAAAGTCTCCTCCACACTGTCTATTAGAGCTTCAACTTCATTTTTAAGTTCTAGAGGAAAGATCACAACCAAAGCAACAAGACTATCTGATGTATCATCTCTTTCAAACACAGTTGTTCAGACAAGATATCTAGAGAGTGCTTCAGATATTCCATCGTGCATAACATGTTTTCCAACACAACAAACTTCAAAAGCGTATATTACATCGTCCAGCAGTGTTGTAACTCGAAGTATCGCCGTAGAATTCAAAATTCAAGTAATACTTTTGATTCCAATTAACGTTAAAGTTAATGACAAAGATTTCATACAAAGTTTGCAGAAAAAATTGGAAGACCTGTACAACTTTGGATTAACACTTTTAACCTCTTCTCGTAAACGACGTGCTCTAGGCGAGGGGATTTTACCTGGCAATAAATTGGGAAAGTTTTCCAGACTACGTGATTTATTTAAAGAAGATTTGAATTCTCAAATGAAAGCAGACAACCGTCGATTTCGACGACAAACAACAAATATCACAAGAGTGGAGGTAAGAATTATATTCCTTGCTTCTTTTGATGATACAAGAATTGTCGAGAAAACATCTTCATTTATAATATAACATTTATAGTACGCGCGTGCTGATTGGTCGAGAAGCGTGTTTCTATAACTCTATAGAAACACGGGAATTTTCCCGCCGAACTTGACAAGCGAAGCGATGTAATGAGAATTTGTAATTGAATCGAATCATAATATTTGTACAAAATCTTTTTATTGAGTTATATTATAAAAGAAATAGAAAACATTTTTTCCTGTGTTTCTATACAGTTATAGAAACACTTGTGGGAGTTTGGGGAACTCGAAATAACGTGGAAAAACTCGCCCTACGGGCTCGTTTTCCCACTGATTATTTCTCGTTCTCCCAAACTCCCACGCGTGTTTCTATAACTGTATAGAAACACGGAAAATGTTTTCTATTTCTTAAATATAAAACGATATAGATGAATCGTATAAAATCCGGCCCGTTAAATAAACAAAAGCGAAAAATTGCAACAAATCCAGGAAGTTTTAATGGTATTTATGCTGCTAATAAACAAAGCCGGCATCTTCTTTATTTTAAACCCGGCAAAATCTGAAACTGCAAATAATGCCAGTACTTGCTGTCATAATGACAGCATTTTTGCTGCTTATTCGCAACTTATAGGCAACTGCATGCAGTCGCCGATTGAGGATAAGTCTGAATAAATTATATGGCATAATTTGAAGTTGAAAATACCTTAATAACAACGCTATTGGTCACTCATTTCTAAAGTATTTTTACATAGAAATCTACCAATATGATTGCAAGTTAGAGGTGTTGTAATTAATTTTATTCTAATTCACATACCCTGGGTGAATGGATCCTTTATTAACTGCTTGGGTACCCTTTTATCCCGTAAACAAAAAACAACGTTCTAATATCGTTTTAAATTTAGATTGTTAATGTCACCCGTCGAGCAGGCAGTGAAGATGTACGGGTTACTTTTTATGTCACCTCGGGGAATTCATTAGTACCAGCGAAAGACGCCGCAAAGACCTTGAATGCACCATCCACTGCTGACAAAGTCGCGAAGTTGGGCTATTTGGTATAAACGTATTCACCTTAATAATTTAACACGTCGATAATAACAAGCGTATTCATTCACTTTTGCGGTCAATGCCCAAACGTTAAAATATGCCATTTTCACAATTCATTTTACATCGAAACCACATGCATTCGCCAATTTTTCTTCATGTGATACAAAAGCTTAAGCTTAAGGCCTTGTTACACGGTGCAATTTTTCATGCAACTTGCAATGCAATTCTATTTTTAACATATTTAAATGAGTAAAGAGTCTTAAAAAATTAAGTTTAAGAAACGTTCATGGAAGTTTCAGCCAAAGTTTCGCCAAATTTATATATCTCGAAAGAAGAATTGTATAGCAAGTTAAAAATTAAATATTTCACCGCTTAAAATTTATCATTCAATAGCTGAAGTATCTATAGTAACCAACCAGATGTATCCAAATGAGCCTCGTTTTCATTTTGTCTCGGACTTATTTACTTATCTCTAATCGTTCAAAATGAATTATTAGCGACAATTTAGAAACAATATTTTGCTCATTATATCCGTTAGTAAATACCGTTAGTAAATAAACTCTTTGCCGCACGTGTTTTATTAATTGGGTGAGGAATGATGGTGTCCAATAGGAGACTCGCAGTGGAGACTGTAGTTTTTATATAACAACTGAACAATTAAATTTTTTGTAGGTGTCAGGGAAATTTTCGGAAGCCGCTAATCCTGTGGAAACCGAGGAGAAAAAAAAAGATGACGAGACTTTGTTGATAGTCCTTGCCGTCTGTATTCCAGTTGCATTTGTTTTTGCTGCTTGTCTGATTATCAAATGCAATAAGAAACAGAGAAGATCCCGAAAACTAAAGGTATGTTTGGGAATATTTACAACCGGATCATAGTTTATGATCTCAGAAATTCAGCTAGAACCAAGTCTGAATATGTTTCAATCTTCTAAAAATTTTCCAATCCCGTGGCAGGAATCCGACCTGCCCCTCCAAGATTTAACCGCAGCGCGTACAATATAAGCTTCGAAAACGGCACTTTTGGGGAGGGGGGGAGAACATTGGTGAAAATTGAAACTTTAAGTTTATTAGGGAGTTTCTGAGGGTAACACTTATGGTATCGAGTTTGTGATATTATGATGCTTTGATTGCGTAACCAACTACACTTACGTGAACAAAAAATCAGGATTCCGTGCAAGGTTAGCCTGCGTCACAGTCCACTCCCCGTAGTGAGTGGACTGTGACGCAGGCTAGTGCAAGGTACATTGCTCTCCTCAATTATTGTCGTCAAGAATGCATGCCTTCCCTCGCTACGCGGGAGCGTTTGATGTCGTAATACATAAGGTATATTTTGTTATAGGGGATTTGCTTTCAGGCCATCATGCATATGTCTATTCGGTCTATATTTAAAAAAGCAGGGCATGTATGGTTTAGAGCGCTTTCTTGGATAGTTAATGACGGTCCATGAATTAAATAAACCACTGTTTGTTTTAAATAGCTTAACAAAGTGTCGTTCGAACAACCAACCTCAAATGGGAAAATTAATGCTCCTGAAAGGTAAATTTTTGAAAACACTTCCTATTATATCAAAATTCTTGATGTTCTTCATTTTCATTTTTGATTTAAAATTATTACACCGCAAAGCGGAAACGAGTATTTTAAAGCAACAATCAGTAAAATATAATCGACATAATTTCTCTGGCCTTCTGGCACTGCAGGAATCATGGAGGATAGGGTGGGAGGGGGTTGGTGTTAGCAGCAGAAGCACTGCGCTTCCCAGAAAAAAACTCAAGGTCTCTACTCTTCGATGCAGGCTGTCCGTGATGTTACCTACAATACATTATAAAGGGGAACATAATTTGCCATGCACCTACATATAGCTAAAAAATACTACGAACAGCACTGAAATGTAAGCCTAACTCACTCTTGCCTTACTGCATGCTCCACTTAGAACAGTCTCTAATAATTAGTACCTCGTTGCATCAACTACATATAATAGCAGAACAAAACGCTTATTTCTTATTATCAACACATATAGCAGTATTGAAGAGAGATATACCCATGCGCCAACGCTACCGATGAAAGATTATCCAGATGTGATCGTACAGACGCCAGCAAGAAAGAAACAGAGAACAAAGAAGGCGAAAACAACTAAACGTTTGAAAACGGAAGACGAGGTAACAATTATAATATTACTGTGTGTTTAACAAGGCAATTAAATATTCCATCATGTACGTATACCTGTTGTTCTCAGGTTTCATTTAAGATAGCTTCGTCATAAGTACAGTTATCGAAATCAAACAGGTTTTATTAGTTATAGAGGATATGCTATAGTTATATGTTACAGTAGTATTTTATAAGAAAGATAATGGAGATATTACTTTTCAAATGGGGTCTGTGAGTCATCTTTAAAATGCAATGATCTTGCCTATAAAATTTCCAACCATACATATTGAATTATTGTATCCTTGGTCTAGCCCATAAAATTTTCAAACATATTATAACGAATTATGCATCAACTGTAGTTACCTAAAACATTAACGCCTGTCACACTCGATGAGAGCGAATGTTATCGAACTTTTTAAATATAGGCGCAAGTGCGCCATAACGTTTTATGAAGTTGAAACAAATTGCATTTTTCATTGTCATTTTAAGACCGACGAGAAATAAACTGAATGCTATAGACACTGTAAAATGTATCTGCATGTTTGGAAAGAAAATCGGCGAATACCGTTATTCGCGGCTTTCCTAGAACCGTCCCATAATTTCTTCTTGTCTAATTTTGATTTATAGATGGATGGTCAATCTGGTTTGGCTGGCGCATTTGAAAACATCACACGTATAAGTTTTGAAGGTCCTTCAAACGTTGCCATTGATGATATCCCTCTTCGGCTACGTCCGGCAGTGAGGCAGGATACCGACGTGAAGAAGCCAGCCAGTAAAGATATTGTTGAGGATTCCGGGGTTCCTCGCTCGTGGATAGAGAGTAAAAACAGAGTTGACATGATGAGCAGGAAGAGTGAAAGAGAAATGGACGAAGAAGTTACGGCTGATGCGACATACAACGATAAAGAAAATTATATGGAACAATCAGATGATACCATGCAAATTAAGGTTTGTCGTGTCATAATTTTGTTGTGATCACTACTGAGATGATATTTATCAAATACTTCATAATGCATCTATGATATAAAACTCGCCAAAAAATCTTTCGTTCTATACTAGGTTTTAATAGTTACTTGTTATCGGTATAGGAGTGGCTGGTAAGGTTATGCATGATGTAGACATTAGGATTCGACTGATTTTTGGATCTTTGTTAGCCCGAGGCCGGCGGCAAATTGTTGACTTTGTCTCTCTCCCTTTAAGAGGCCCATGGTACTTGTTGATAAGCACTTCAAGTCACTCGGTTATTTCATTTCTTTCTCTAGTCATCGATTATGATAAAGTCTTTATCCGCTGTCTTTTTGTAATCATAGATATTATCCTTAATTTTCTTTTACAATGAATACCATTCTTCCTCTGTGAACGAAAGCATGTCCGACTTATGATATAAGTGAATCTACTTAGCAATAAAGATGTTAGAGGAATAACATCTTCTACGCTTTTTTCTACACCAAGTACATCGTAGACTCATTGTAAGGTTATAAAAATATTTATGCATCACTAAATTGTTAGGGTTTTTTGTTGTGTAGGCCAACATAGAGAAATGGCGGAATAAAATGAGACAAAGAGAGCGAAGGAAAGGACGAAAACGTGAGAAAAAACGCACTGGGGAGAATAAACTGATCGCGTTGGAAGAAAAGAAGTTATCAAGGCGTGAATGGCTTATGGCACAACCTGAGGTAGTACTTTATGTCTGGCGATTACGTTTTTTTATGCGCGAGTTGTGAATGATTGCCAGTGGCGGCGCCACTGGAATGAATGGGAGGGGCAATTGGAAGTTAAATTAATGTTTTTCTGGGGGGACAAGTTAAAGTAATGTTTTTTTGGGGGGGGGCAAGTTCTTACTTTAAGTGAAGCAAAAATGGCCTAAAAGTATCGCATAATATGAAAAAGTCTGGGGGGATGGGGAGAGACAAGAAAATTGCGAGCCATACCCCCTGGCACCGCCGCTGAGGATTGCGGAGCAAATGAGTGGGCATAGTGAACGAATTTGCGATCCTTCGCAACGAATGCGCAACAAAAATCGTACCAAGAAGCCAGGCCAGCGACCAAGTTTTTATTCTCCATTTCATATAATTATAGAGTTCACTGGCTTCACTTAATTGCTTCTCACTTGCTACACTAGTAGTAATGTGATTTCATTTACTGAATTCCATCTTATATAGATTCAAGCAATTCTTGATGGTGAAGATTTAGCCGCATCAACCTCATCATTGTAAGTATATGCTCCATTTCTGTCATGTATATTCCATCTAATTTCTATTATCAATCTGACAAAATTTCAGACAACTGTTTTAAAACATAGGCGCACGGGTTCAAACATTCTTTTGGTACATAGCACATGCATCGGGCTACGACTGAATGCTTGTTTAATTTCTTTAGAAGAAAAAAGAAATATCGACGAGAGCGTTCGCACCAGTCAAAGAAGCATCTTTACAGCGATAGCGACAGCGAGGTATAAGACAAGCTACATAAAATTATACTTACTATAATAAGACCTAACTAGCTTTATATATATAGATGCGATGGACCATTCACATTAATCATGTCACTTGAAGATATTCTAGTTATCCTGCGTATATTCCAAATGAATGCTTGTGTCGGAAATATATTCAAAATGTGAAAGAACATGCAGTATTTAACAACTACTGTTTTAAACAACATTCTCGATTTTGTTCTAGTTTTATATAATTTTGAAATCTCGTAGTCTTTTGTTTTTCCCATGCATGCTTCATTAAATCCCGTTGTCTGTTTATCTTTAAGACTAGGTTTTTTCTTCTAGGCTTCGGCAACACCAGTAAAAAGACACCATCGTCGACGCTTTGCACAAAGGTCTACGCGTCGAGTACATCCTTCTGAGAGCGATGGTGTTCGTTTGATTGCTGTTAGACCAAGGAAGGTATGCACCAAAGCACGATATAATTATTAAAAAAGTCATTTTATACAAACAAGGTTACCATGTAATAAAGGGTAAAATTACTATCTGGTTGATGCCAAGGGTTATTTTCGCCGAAACATTGATTGAAGTTTTTACTGCCTTTAGGTATATAAAGAAAAATTTTGCTATAGAATCACCAGAATAGAATGCTTTATAAACAAGACAGTCGGTCAAAATTCACTCGGTCTGGACAATGCATGATTTTTTATTCAAAAAAACAAGGCACGCTGAGTTTAAGTCCAGTTAGGATTCTTACTTTACGTTTATACATACAATTTTTTTTCTCGTTCAATTTTCCCGGATATTCCATTTGCAGCCCCTCGTATACGCTTTTGAAGAGCCGGGACTTGAACAAGAATTTCAGCAGCGGTACATGCCACCTGAAGACAACAGTGTTCCTTTGCAAGCGCCAACAGAACCTGACGAAGAAAGGCCGTTTGGAGACGAATATGATCATCCATTGGATAGTGTGTACGATGGTAAGTACAGCTTATATACGTCGATTCAGCTGTTTTAAGGCCTAGATTTTGCATTTGAATTTCTCAGTCCATATTTAAGACAAGGTCATTCATTCGTCAAAACTCTACTCCGAAGTCAATATATAATTATTAAAAATATACGAATCTTCATTGGTGCATGTGAACTGAACCGATGCGCAAAACGGACTTTACCTCCTTCCTTTTGGCAATTTGAGGAGAGGAGACAAATTACTTCAACCTTTAAGTGTCCATTTGTTGACGTGTACAAAAGATTGTGTACACCATTTCCAAATGTGTATCCAAATCCTGTGCCCTGTTTGGGGTTACAGTTTGGAATATCTGTACAAGTGTGAAAACGATCATGCGCATAGTTAACCGTCTTGGAACAGAAACATATGATCTAAAAGACGTCCAGTAACCGTAATTCACTTTATTTTAGAAGAATTCTACGATCCATACGTACCGGAATACAGCGAACCACGGTACTATCCACCTCCAAGAACAGAATATGTTATCGCAGAGGCTCCTATGGCCTTCGAACAACCGTTCCCATGGAGAATGCACGAGACATCATTCTGTGGGACAACCCGCACGCCACATCGAGTACACCGAGTGGTCGACCCGGGTCATTCACCTCGGAAAATGTATTTCAAACAACCACCACCAAGACCATCAAGTTTATATCAACATGCAAGAAGATCTCAACGTACATCAAGGCCTGATACTGTAGACAAGACAAACGAGGTTAATGCTCCAAAGAAAACACCTCAAAAGTTAAAACCTTCTGGCGAATACGTGACCTCACACGCAAGTGCTGAGACACCAGCTCCAGGAAGGAGTGTAGTGAGCTCGAGTGAAACTTCTCCTGCTCGTTCCTGGGATTCAAAAGCAAATGATGACTTAAAGAACTATAGCATGAATGAGACTGAAGCAAGAAAGTTAGTTTCACGCGTCTTAGACAGAGCGAAAAAGAAAACTGATAAAGATTAAATCTGAACAAAAGTTACGTAAAGGCTCTTCTCACAACAATCTAGAGTCCAAAAAACATGTATTTTAGAATCGAGAAGTGCAAATTTTTGTGGACATTATGGAGTTAAAGCGCATCCGGGTTTTTCGCGTAGTGCGAATGGTTAAAACGAGTTAAAGACAAGACGCCACAGAGGCTGTACGAATATTTCAAAAACAGCAAAGAACTCATCCACAGCAAAAAAGCAACAACGTAAATTATCACTGAAAGTACAAAACGTAAAATAAAATGAAATACAAGCTACCATAGTGTACATAATAACTAAGTATACTATATAAATACATTTAGAAATTTTTGAAGATAAAAACCCTGATATGGAATATAGCTATAGTTGTATATAGAGTACTAGAATGTTCAATTATACACAAAATGACTGGTATTATGCATATATATGTATATGACACACGAATGTTTGAAATCTTCGCTAACAGGGCAAAGACATTCACTGTTTTAATTATAAAAATATTTGTATCATATATTTACAGAATTAAATTAATAGTACAATGTAAAAAATAAATGAAGCAATGGTTGAACCAAAATTTAGATGGTGAAGATTTGGATGTAGCTACATGCGGCATGCAGGGCCGGGACTGGTTTGAAAAGCGTTTAGCTGAAAAGACGGAGCCAGGGGGGTCAGTCACCAACTTTTTTATTCTGCTACCACCCTCCGCCCAGACCTTTACATATTATGCAATACTTTTAGGCCATTTTCGCTTCATTAAAGTAAGAAAATGGAAAACTAATCACTAAATCTGACAAATCTCTCAAATTTGAAGTCTAAGCCCCCTGCCCGAAAAAAAGGACTGAAAAAGAGTATAGAAAAAATGACTATTGATATTGAATGGAGGAGGTTATGAATACCCGTTGCATTCTAGAGAGAAACATTACAAGAATATTTAGAGTTGCTTTTGTGCATCATTTTTTATTAATATGTAATCACAACAAAATAATTAACTACAACATTGATTGAGAACACAAGTTAGAATACTTAAGGAACTACAATATCCCAAAATAGAATTAATCCGGCAATCTACCATCAATATTCACTAAAAGGATCTCCTTGTTCGTCCTCGATTTCAAAAGCGACAAACGAAAAACCTGAAAATGCGATCTCTACAAGAAGAGAAAGGTTACGTTAACAATCTAGGGGGATACAGTTTCGTTGAAAAATAAAAATACTTCTTTGTACAAACAGAACTACATTGGTGTGCGCTAGAAAAACAAGGAAATTATCATCCCAGTTGTTGAATAGAAGTGAAAAACTTTTTTAACTTGACAATTTGACATAACGGTTTTCTAAATTACTCAATGATAGCACATTCAATTCCTCTCCATTGGCTCGATACACCTGCATGCATGCATGTATAGCAGGTTAACAAAAGTTTTGAATTAAATTGGGGAGACAGACGCGTGATTTCAGCCGAAATTTCCTCATACGCCTAAGTAAGTATAGCTGCACTAGTGTCCTGCGTTTTTATATTATGTATTTTTCGAAAACCGTCTATAAAGATAACTTTGAAGATTACTAATTAAATTTTCTTTCCCGAGAATTTTTTTGTTCACAAGCCGTCTTTGAGAATTATTTGTAGTTCTGAAATGTTCTCTGATAAATTCATTACTTACTCATAATGACTGTAATGAAGGCTTGACATGCCACTGAGAAAGTAGCCAGGCATGATTTTAAAATTTAGTGTATTATCCAAGTAGTTCACTTCAGCTGTGTCAGCACAACGTTTAATATAGCGACCCATGTCGCAACAGTAAAAAGCCCATTGACGGTCTTCATAATAATTGTTATGAACGCTTTTTATTCCTATAATAATTTAAACATATTTATGACCACGTTTATGAGCCATAGATTATAAAAAATTGTACTAAGGGGGGGAGGTAGGAAGTAATTAAAAAATAAACTGACAGGAATGTTCACTGGATTGTTAGTGACAAATCAGTATCTGAGGTAGGGGTTTCATATCTCAGAATATTTCGTCTAGCCTTGGTTTCTTACAACTGATGACTTCAGTTTTTCAAAAGCAAAGCTTGCACGGTTTATTGTTATTGGCTTACAAACTAACTATTAAAACTTTGCATCGTATAGAATGAATAAGAGTGTAGTTTTTGGCGCGAGTTTAAAGAGTTGTTAAACAAGATGTATTTTGTACTCAGCAAAAGTTTCAGTCTCATTTTACGAAATCTATTACTTGTTTTAAGTAAGATATTACTTTTTTGACCAGGAACTGGTCCCTAAGCGCTGCTAATCTTGTTATTGTTGTTGTTGTTGTTCGAAATTTTAGATCGAAACTCGGTCACACATTTCCTAGGAAACATTTACTAGTCCGTACTGTAAAGGGGTTTCACCAAAATTTTTCCTAATAGGAAAACCTTAAAACAATAAGTTGACTATCAAATTTGAATTTAATATATAAAACAACATTGCAGTATTTTAAAACAAAAATATCATTTCTTTGTTATAAAGTACTATAATGTATATGTTGTTTTATATAATTAATTTAAATTTGATGATCAACGTTTGGAATTATATTAGCTACTTAATTATAGTCGCTGAGTCGCACGATATAAAAATAAAACTGTTTCTTAGGTCTCCTTCAGCTAATGCATGGTTACACTTAGTCATTTTCCAGACGCATGCATACACAAAACTAGCTTTGCCAAATTCGTGTTACAGTCGCAAGAAAGCATTTTTCACACAGTAATCACTCACCATTAATTACCCCATCTTGACATGTGTAATCAAGTTTTCCATCATAGCCATTTTGGTAGCCAGTCCATTTGCAATTCGTCAGGGTTACCCCTGAAGGCTCGCACGTGAACTCCCACTGTCTGTCTTCCTTGTAGTTATTGTGTCTGCTTACTATTTTTGTGAAGCGCTCGTTATCTAGAACAACAGGAAACATTTGGCAAACAATACTCCTTCTGCTGTGTCATATGTCTATATTCTTTGAAAAATAGTATTGTTTATATAGAGAGGTGATATAACACTGGCAAATATATGTAGTGATCCACTTCTTGTTTCTATCCTTGGCAACAGAGCATGGTTTTGTTTTTCTTACAAACTCGACTCCTTCAGAATATCTATACATATAAATTATATGTATATAAAAGATTGCTACTAATAACGTGCATGTAATGAGCTAGATAGTCCTGAAAATACAATTTATAGCTACCATTTTTTTCTGAATTTGACTGATGAATTTCAACACGCAGTTGGCACCCAGTGTATAAAGAATTGCTACTAACGTACATGGAATGAGCTACGTAATCCAGAAAATATAATTACGCCATTTTTTTTTAGTTTGACTGACGATTTTCAGCGCAAGAACCTTTGAAAGCAATAAGTACGTCAGTACGATATTTTCAATCGGAAAGACACTCCCTAGACTGCATGGTGCTCTTGCTATTCAGCACCTTGTTATACATGCAGAGACACCTACAAGCAGTGTTTTCGTCCCAGTTTTGCGTACTTGCTTAGAATCAGGGGCGAGTCCAGAAGCGGCCAAATGTTAGCTGCATGATTGCACGTTGTCAACATGCAACCATGCAGTCAAGTGCATGATTTAATATTGCAGAGGTACGGTTAGGTGGCCCTACAAAATATTGAGTGTTTAAAACACTTTTTCTCTTATTCAGAGATAAAATCTTACTACATTATATTAATTGTTTCTCGGCTCTCTTGTGTAGAGTTATTTCGCTGAATAATTGGCATATATAGTAAAGGTTTTGTTTCACTCACCCAGGCACGCGCGTGCCCACGTTTGGTCATAAGGCGTTGCTGACAGTTGTCTTGCTCCGACGAAAGCAAGTTGCAAACTGAGTAAACACAAAAGCTTTCCGATCATTATGATTTTTTCTAAACAATATAAGAAAAAGTGCTCTTCACACAAAAATCAAGGAGTGCTGAAGGATTGCAGAAAGTGGCATTGTTCCATGTCTGTTCCATGCGCGAGCAGATAAGTCGAGTGCGAGCTGAGTAAACCCAAGCTAAAAACTACATTTATGGCGGTTTTCCCCTTTTTCGTCGGATATATTTTTTTCAATTGTGAGAGTTCGCCGTTGATGATTCCCTTCACCGGTCACAATTGAAAAGAAAATCGAGGGGAAATTTTCGTTCGATCAAAAAATTCGGCCTAGTAGAAAACCACGAGCTCTAGTCGTATATGAGCTGATAGCATTTGTATTCTGCACTCTCCAGACAGCACCCTCCAGAATTCTGCAGTCAATTTCTTCTTTATTTACCTCAGCAAACCGGTCAGTCATTTTCTTTGGGTTTGCTAGTATCTACCCACCGTATATAAGCTGATATTTGGTGGCTAGCTCGACCAATCAGATTGCGGAATAGCTCATGCATATACAGTGAGTAGCTGTATTATAATCATCTTTATGCATGACCACATCCGAAGAACCTGCACTATATCATGTATCTTATACCCCCAATGGACGACTCGCACTTTAATCTAATTTCTTGCCTCAGTGATAAAAAAGAAATTTGCCCTAATTATAGTACGCTCCTTCTAGCTGTAATGATCTATTTTCTCCCTGTCAAAAATTAGTCTAAAGCACAAGTCGTTCATTGAAATCGGAGCTGTGTTGTGAAAGAGGTATTATTATTACCAGTGAAAAAGCGATTTTACTCAACGTTAATATAATTAGAGTATTCTTTTTTGGGCACACTTATATGCATTTTGGCTAAAATGTATGCTGACTAGGATTTGATACATGTGATGGGAAAATTGAATAATACCTGATATGATTCTATAGCATTTGTACGCAAAGAAGCGTCCAAATGTTCTGTGGCTAATTAATAAGCATGCATGCAATAATATTTAGAAGCGTTTTAAACACATAATAGGTATGAGGTAATATTATAAGTAAAACTTACCGTCGCTTTTTAATGTAACGTTATCTGGATATGCGATCCTCTTCACGATAGCTATGACTCAACTCTGCCTCAAAATTTGATTTGCGACTTATTTTAACATGTACAATTCAGGAGATGTCAGATGCAGGAATGTGCCAGATAGATTTCTGGGTAATATCGAGCGGTACTATATACGCTTGGATCACAGGTTCCTGCATAGAGGAGCACGTCATTTATGTCACTCGTCTCTATGCATCGTTGCAGATAGACAAACAACGCTAAAATTAATACTTTTGACGGAAGGTTCGGTATGTCGAGTTTCGGCGCATTGGCATCTCTGTCGCGCCGTTTCCTCTCAACATTTGGATGGCAATCACAGTCTATCGCACATCGGCGCTTTTGTATGCGATCTTTGTCGGGACTCTGTTTATATAGTTATGCTATACGTTGCCAAGATTTATTTTGAAAAAAAAATTTTAAATGATAACTCTATTATCCAGAATCACATGCAAGCTCGTCCTATGATCTTACATCCATGCACCTCTAGATCTCATGCTTACTCTCAATCCACATCAGCAGATATTGGTGTGGTATACATGTTTCTGCGTGTGCGTTTTTCTGCATAGTTTCAACCCGAAAATCTAATCCTTTTTCACAATTGTGCATTTCTTTATTGCTATCAAAGAAAAAACTATTGGATAACTTGAAAAAGTTCAATTTTTCTGCAAGAATATACGCATTCTGCGAATTTTTATACCGCCCATCATATAAATCTGGCAAATGTGAAATGGTCATTTTGAGGCTTAAAGTATATAGTTATTAATTCAGAGGAATCTTTTAGATATATAGATTTAAATATAAATATGTAGACTTTTTTGTCACCAAGTTTGAAGCCTGAGTATTGAGAATCACGTCTTACTATGCAGAAGTCTTTGAGATTTGATAGATTTTATTAATTTTATTGAAATTGGTATTTAGGGTTTAGGATTTAGGGTTGGTGTTGCATGGGCAAAAGGGATTTAACTCCTAAAAGTGGTATAACTCCCAATTTTATTAGGCTATTTTATCATCTCAGTCAACGTTATCTTACAAAGTCAATCGAATAAAGCGAGGATTAGCCTCCTCCACAGACAGCGCAACCCCAAGGAAAGCCCCAAGGGAAGCTAGAGAGGCCTGTGGAGGAGGCTAAGCGAGGATAACTTATAAGAGGTTTATTGCATGGTTAATTGGCATAGGTGCGATAGATGTCTTCAGGCGCGACTCAGGGAGGGGAAGAAAACCGTATTGTATATGACCTCTCTCCTCCGTGGTTCCACTACGACCTCCTTACAACCCCCTCTTCAGCAAATGTTACCAAATTATATATTTTATCTTTTATTGGTTTATTACTGCCGACGAAATTAAAAATTAAGAAAAAAAAACAAAAAACAAAACCTAGGCGAATTTTCACTCCGTCGCTCACGCCGGAGTAATTAGAATTTATTGAGAAAATTAAATTTTAGGACGGCGTATATATTTACCTCAGCGTAAAAGTTTATATATGTCGGTAGATATCTAGGTTGGTAGACCGCTTCATTGTATTATATACTCAGATATGCCATATATACCGTAGGAACAAAATGAACAATAGCGTACAAAAGAAATCAGTTGAGCATTGGACGAGTACATGAATATACAGTGTTCCCCAAAGGAAAACCCTTAAGAACAAAAAACTGATTTCAATAGAGGGTTCTTTTCTTGGACTCACGGTACACCCGACCATCAATTAAGCGGATCATGTTATATGAGGTCGTAGACTGCAATGGTCAGTTTAATATACGATTCCCTCAAAATATTGTTTTTATTCAGAATAAATTTGTCAATATATATAAGCTTTTAATTATGGAGAATTTCATTAATTATTTTGTATAATTAGTTGTTCCTAAAGGAACTGGTTTTATAAATTTCAATATAACCAGGTAGCAGGGTGGCAGCGTCCTCAAAGAAATTAGCACCAAATGCTGTATAACAACTGCCTGAAAAAGACAAAACACTACTCGACGTTTCGGTCACCTGAGGGCATTCCTTATACTAATTCTCCTGACGAAGGTTCTCAGCTCGAAACATCGAGAAGCGTTTTGTCTATTTTCGGCAGTTGTTATACCACATTTGATGCTAAGTTTTATAAATTTTATTTTAATTAAGTATTCCCGAGCGATGGCTTCTAGGATACCTTATGGGATAGGATATCTAATCTTCGCCGGCCTGTTCTCGCCACTTAAACTCGTCCTGGAAACGTGTTTTCTTATTTTTCATATCTTCCATTTCAACTTAACCCTGCTCTACAGTTCCAGCATTTAAAAAAAGTGATAATATAAAGACAATCGCAATGCATGGTTAAACTACAGGGTGTCCCAAAAAAGACGAAAACTATTGAAATCACCCATAACAATGCAATTGTTATAGAGTTTGAATGCCTAAGCACTCTGTTGGGACCCACAGGTGTATAAATGTTTACCATACTCATTTTTATGCATGCATATGATGGAGTAAAATTTGCTTGTTCACAAAAATGATATTTACTAACAATATTTACAATTTACAAATATGGATGACCTTCGACATGTCCCCTTTCTCTAGCAACACAAAGCATTTAGCATTTTATAAGTTGCATTAAATCCCCACGGGCTGACTATTGTGGTCAATCTTCTATACTGAGTGTCAATCGCTCTACAGGGTGTCTCAAAAAAAACGCAACCACTTAATATTCTAAAATTCATATTGTTCACAAGCTCAATAGATTTTATGCCCCTGGGATTTTAAAATGGCTTCCAATCGTACTGTTCAACTGCTAATAGTCAAATCAGCTAAACTAATAATGGTGTAGCTAACAACCGAACAGCGAGTTTTTATTGTTGTGCATGATAACTTGAATGCTAACCGTCGACCTTGTAAAATAAATTGTAAATAAAATTTTACTCGTTAAATACTTTCAATTCAGCTCGTTGGTTTACGCACCCGACTTTGTTTACCGACGATTGTGCCGCTAGAATATGATTACAAGCTTTCTCGCATTCCAGGGGCCAAACGTCTTTTGTGTTGTAGAACAAAGAGGATATTCATGAATATTAAGTGGTTGCGTTTTTTTTGATACACCCTGTATTGCTCAGCTATACCAAAAACTTTTTATAGACTGAAACGCGGTTTCCCTCATTATGGGTACCCATCCTAGCCGTGCCGTTGCATGCTAATAAATTGAGTGTTGTTTAAACCTGGCTTGAATGACTGAGTTGAAGACACGTTGCGTTATTTGCAGAATTAATTTTGCGTGGATAGCAAGAAGTGATTAACACGGAAATAGAAGCCGCCAGGCAGAACTCATGCATGAGCTGTGCTTGTCTGCACACATTTCAAAAGCCCATTTGAATTCTCAGTCAGGATGTCTTCTACTGTATAATCATGCCAACGGGATAGAAACTCACAGTCGGTCGCACATGAACGCTCTTACGATCTTTCTCAGGTGTTACTTAGCTATTATGGAATTGGTTGTAAAAACATGACATAATTTGTGTCGAATTCGGGTCATGGTGCTTGAGTTGTAAATTACAACTCAAGCACCATGACCCGAATTCGAAATGTAAATTCAAATATCGTTACCCATGCATATCTGTAAATTGTAATTACTGGTAATAAAAATCATTTGTGGGTACAAACAAACTTTCATCATGCATAAAAAGCTATGTTATATGAACATTTATACACCTCTGGGTCCCAACAGGGGACGATTTTATAGGTGATCATCAATAGTTTGGCGTTTATTTGGGGCAACCTGTATACAAATTGTATTTATTTTAAATCATTAACCTATTGCATGTATTCAGACTATTTATTGTCAATGGACATCAAAACGTTATAATTTAACCGGATGGAATAGTCAGATTAAAAAATACGGCATGCAATAACTATAATCATAAATGTAGACAATCTAGTATCAAATAATAATCATAATAAAGTACGAATGAGGTGATAATTTCATGAATCAAATAGATTTCGGGATGGCGTAAAGGTTATGGTCCGGTTAAGGAGTAAAGATTTCAGTATTGCATGATACATGCAGAAAGCAAGCTCAGTTTGTTTCTTTTTTAAATTTTTGTCTCCTCTGGCAATTTTTTAGCGCATGCTAATTTGAAATTTAGAATTAACGCTTATAGCGAAGCAGACCGTTTTAGTGCAACCGTTTCAGTCCTTTGAATTGCAGGCAGCCAACCAAGGGGGAGCTGTGCTTAACTTCAGTCAAAGAAAAAGCGAAGAAGTGACTGTTCACACGATTCAATTTGTCGCTTCCAATTCACCTCTTACGTATGGATTGTAGTCAGTTGTTGACAAAGCAATACAGCATCAGCTGATTTGCCTCCCACATTTGTCGGCTACACTTCAAAGCAACAGACAATAAACATTAGAAGAGAATTGGATCCGATAAAGTTAGACTGTGTGAACGCGGTCTATAGTCTTATGGAAGAAACCACTATATAGATGTTTTACATTTGACATACCCTGAAATCAGCGTATAAACCAGAGCTGTGATAAGAAATATAAACAATAAGATGACAACCCCCCCTGGACTGTCATTATCGTCTCATTATACCATTGTTTTATTTCTTGCCTACGTCTCAGCTAATAACATGAATTTTACCCTCATTTAATATAAAAAGTAATTCTACATGAAAAGTAAATTCATATTATTTTTATAAAAAGTAATTCAGAATAAATTAGAAGAATGTGGAAGCTCCTATATTAATAATTAAAACGACCACTCCAGAACACGGTAGACTGAAATTTTGCATTCCTGGGTTCCTATGACGTCATACATTCCCAGGGTGATCACTTCAAAACCATGACTCTGTGAGTGAAATCAGTTAGTTTTCCACTGTTTATCTTTCGGTTCGCAAGTAAATAATTTTTTATATCAGTTGAGTTTCGTATCTGGTGTAACTACCAGGGGCCAGTCGTTGAAAGCTATATAGGTTTTTTAAATGCTTCTAAACTGCTGTTAGTTTTAAAACCTTTTTGGAAATTGGCTTCTGTGAGTCCAGAAAATATTTATGGAAAAATATATTCAACTTTGTAAAGAACCGATTAAAAAAATTGGTGTGAAGTTTCGTTTTAATCCAGGGCCGGGGATAAGCTAACCGGCTTTTGAATAACCGGCCCCAGGTTAACCAGTAACCACCAGTTGATTCAATTGACAGATTTAAACAGACTTGGTTAGTGGAACAATAGTTTAACCCACCCAGACAGGGTCTTCAGAAAGTTACAAAATTCGTTGAATAATTAGATATCTACTGCATGCAGATATATATAGCAGTTCAATAGCTACATACGCGACTGATTATGCTTCTGGGAATTATGTATGCATGGCTTATAATTATTTTCTTTTCAGATATTTTATATTATTTTCCAAGTAGATAATTATTAGACAGGATAACGACACAAGATGATTATATATAGTTACAGCTAAGCAGGCAACGTGCGAAAAAACTAATGCAAGAATCATATGTTTACAATGTTGCACGCATTCTTATTCGTAAAAAAAACGTCCTTTTGTGCTATAGACGGTATAATTCCCACTGCAAAGGTTTTGCCTCCTGAGAGCGGAATGATGTTCAAAGTTAGTGGCCGAAATCAAGTGGCTGTCATATCTTCGGTGCGGCGAAATGACCTTGTACACAAGGAGGTCGTTTATTCAAGCGTAAAACACGCACCGAGAACAATATCCAGAAGTCGATCGTAATGTTAATTAAGTCAGGAAATATTAAAATGTATCGTATCCCAGTTTTGAGGCATTGTTATCGAACATAGCTGTTGTGGAGAGCTCACGTGAAGATCACTATACTAAAACACATAGTTAGCAGGTAAGTTTTTATTCCCTTCTTGATTTTAAAAATATAACAAAATATCGCTCTAATCATTGTTGATATAGTTCAGCGGATGACACTGTTGTAGTGACTGTGCAGAAATAGTTACATCGTATAATTTTTTAATTTCCAAACTAGTTTTCTGACTGAGTGAACTGACACCATAACATTCGATAAATTCATTAAACATCCCTTTAGTTTGGTCTCTGGGAAATAAGTTTCATGTTTATAATAGGCCTGATGGATCATCACAAAGATATGCGTGCAATCCAGGCCGATCTAGCCTTGTGCGTGCAGTGCTTGGGTTAATTGAGCATGACTTCAACGTTAACATGCAAGCTTTCCCCTGCTTACAGTTGGATGAAAACTGATCTTAAAAGTTCGCTTGGAGTGTAACAGAATTTTAACATGCTAGCGCCTTTCTACTTGCTCGTGTAGCTAATAACATAGCAAAACCCATATACCCTGTTCTAAAAATAAGTTGCGCTGAATTTTAGCATGATTTAATTCGTTCCCAATGTGTTATGTGATTGTCTGAGCTGTTCTAGTGCACGCATGGCATTGTACATTTCTCGAATTGTTCGATTCTACATGTAAAGAGGTAAAAGCTAAATAGACTTAAATAGAATTTGTGCTATATAAATAGCATTCTGACTATTACTGCACAGAAGCGAATAGTTTGGGCATTCAGAGGAATTTTGTAGTTTGAAAAACCATTTTGTCCTTTTTCAACCTCTTCCAAAGTGTGTCAAATCTGTTTTACGGCCGCGCATTGACTTAACGTGCAGATCTTTTTTTTCTGTATTTGTATTGCTTATCCTATTTCAAGTATTTGATTTTTAATCAGTCTCCATTCCTCGTACATTGTGACTCCCAGAATATTATTATGCCTTGTGAAGAAATGTGTCAAGTTCTGACTATTACGTCTATTGCGTTTGTAAACTGATCGAGTCATATTATACATTACACCCACACTCTAATACCCGTTGGCCAACATTTGCCTTGCTTCATTGATAATTGAGAGCGATTTTGCTCACTTGCCTACTTATAGACCACGATGATGTTTACAATACCATTACGCATCTGTATTTTTGTATTGGCTGTTACTGGATTGGTGAGCGGATTGCACGAGACGTCCTTAGTCTCCCGATGGGTAAGAGAATGTCCAGGTACGAAAAAACGAATCTTCTTCTATGTTATACGCTGACAATTCTGATTTTAGCCCTGCATGCACATATGGTTCGCTTATAGGTCGCTCCTATATGTCATTATGTCAGTCGTAGTCACTCTAGTGTGTTTACACAACAAGAAAACATAGTTTGTCTGTCTTAGCCTCCCAGGTAACAAATAATAGGAATAGGTCTTTTCACCTGGTAAAAATAATGACATTAGAAACTGTACAAGGGTTAGAGATGGAAATCAGGGATGCATTATTGAAGCTCTTTGACCGAGCCTTCACCTTAACAGCAAATGATTACACTGGATTGAAAGGGAGTGGAGAAAGTTCATTATTATAAATTATACCTTTTTGATAAGTCGACTACACCTCCATTTTAGCAACGGCAACAGTATTTAGCTGGTTTACAGAAACGTTTATTCAGGTTCTTTTATTTCCTTGGAAAGCCAATTGTCTTTTTGCCTCTCCACCGCCCTTCTTCTTGTTCAACTGTAGTATTTTCCACAAGCCATATAAATTATGTAAGGTAATCAATCATATTTCCTGTGAACATTGGAATTTTGTCCTACCTCGACACTTATAGATGGACATCAGTTATCTCGGATTTCAAGCACATACCACTGGAACCGAGGAACATCTGATCGCAAATGGATACTGGAATGCGAACCATCGCCTCTCCGACTATACGCGTGTTTCTGGACACCAGACGTGAATGGTTTTGATCAAGACGTGAATTTCGACTGCAAAAATGGGATCATCGCTGGTAAATGACATAACGTCTCATACATTAAGCATTAAATGAACGTTGAGCAATGAGTTTCAGCTTTGACAGTAACTGCTTTTGATTGCTAAAGAATTTGCTAAAGGTTTTTCTCATCTCGGGACGACTTATGGCGTTTTCATCGACATTTTCATTGTCAACCATTGATATTTTTCACATTATAACATGTTATGCGCAACACAATGCGAAATTACAAATCTCTTTTTACATTTTATGGAAAATCTTTGGATGAGGTATTTGTGCCGGAATCCGGAAATCAGAATACACTCTTGAAGCAATTGTCTGCCTATGCTTGAGGATGAATTATTGTCATTTCCTTTAAAATATAAGTTATAGACCTATTCGAAAAAGAGCAAGAGGCCTGTTTTGAGAAACCGAAGCTAGCCAGATTTTCTTTGCTGCGTTTTCGGGTTATTTGTTTATATTCTCACACTCTTGTACTGGACCTGTTACAAGCTACACAAAAGCGAAGTTTTGCCGGTCAAAATTTAGAAATAAATTATACAGATGATTCATAGCAGAAAAACGCGACTAGCCTCGTTTTCGCGTAATAGGCTTCTTGCTCTTTTGGAATTAATCTATATATGATTGCCGTGATTCCCCCTTTCCGCAAAAGTCGAGAATTTCTGTGCAGATGTGGAAGATACATAGGCATGAAACATTGGATACAAATTCATCCCGAATATGCGAAAATATAAATCAGAATTACTGGTGTAAAATGACTCTATCGTCGTTCTTGATGCTTAAAAAATAGCTAAAAGTTCTGATCAATTTTTCACCAATAACCTTCATCGATTTTTTCATTAAATCAGGAATGGAGGCGTCCGGATATGGTAGGACCAGCTCTGATCGAAAGTTTGCGTTTAGATGCTGCGAGGCAGAAGCTTATCTCGGGAAAGAATACACAACCGACTATATCAATGAATACGGAAAAGACTTTTCGTACACAGTGAAAAGTGGCGAGTTCATAACCGGAGTGTACAGTCACCATAGGAATGGAGCCGGCTACGAGTAAGTCGAATGTTCGTTATTCTGAGAAAGTATATGTTTGGGGTAGTTGTTGGTAAACTTGGTAGGGTCATAGATCATCGTCACTGCTTATAGAGTCAGATTTGCATGATGTATAGCCCCAGATGGCAGCCCGAATTAAGTCTAAGAGGCTTAGGCTTGGCAGAAAAGTTCTCTCTTTGCAATTCGCAATTGACGTTTCCAATTTGTCTCATTCATTCTAGGTTTCTAATGAATCCAAAGTAATTTTTCTTATTTGCCTTTTTTAGGGACAGGCAATGGAAGTTTGATTTGAAGAAGAAGCTATTCTGAACAGTCTTCTTTTATATCAAAACGTTTTGCAAAAATTGTAGTAGAGAACTTGTAGTTGGGGATTTGTAAAGGACAGTTTTTTGTCTGTTCCGTACTTTTTTTACCCTTCTTTCTTTGTATACGCAGTAAACCGAAATTTAATGGAACATTAGTTTCAAATTATGGCAGTGTTTTAATATTGAAAACATCTTCAGACCGTGATTCCAATCCAAATGACTATATACCCCCAACCATCAAATTGAGTGATTCGTATATTATCGCGGCCCTTCCCTAACCTTTCGCACCCCTAAGCCACTAGGGTCGTATGAACCGAGGGATAGGAGCAATGGAAATACCATCACCGTCTTCCACAATTTTTACGTGATTAGTTTCGGAGTACGTTTTCCATATAATTGCTATGACTGAGTGAAGCCAACGTGTCGGCCATCCACATTTTCCATAATTCTTACATTTTTACATTGTGTGCGTTCTTTGTAAGATGTGTGTGTTAGACGACTTCCACACGACGATTGTGCTAAGCTCGATGGCTGCATTTTTAGCATCGTCGAAAGCATGCATGTAGTTTTATTTTCAACGATTGAGATGCAATCCTTTAAATATTTCCTGCTGGTAAACAGTAAAGCGAGCTTTTCCACTTCCCAATTTATCTTCCCTGAATATAATTTATGCTTATCTAGAATGTAGCCATTTCAGAACAGCTGGACCGACTTTCTATTCAGACTTTAGAAGCTCTATTGTTTTCTTCTCTTTTCGATTTTCCGCGGGTTATATGTATTCAATGTATGGGTTAAGAATGTGACGTGGTGAATTATTCAGTAATTATGTAAAATATTACAGTATGTAATTTATTTTAAGTCATGCAACCTCGTACCCAGGGTCTGGGTACAAGGTTGTAAGTCATGTACATTTAATGATAATTTCAGTATGCTTTGAAAACCAAAACCATCAGCGTTTCAGCAAACAATCTTTTCAATTTGGTAGTTTTTGGGCGTTTTAAAATTGTCTACTTTATTGTATACATCCTGCAGTATGGAACTATGCATGGATATATTATATGTGTGTGGTAGAAGTGACTCATTGTCATATAAACTCTACTCATAAATTATTACTAAAGCTCACACCAGTCTATCAGTCCATCATATTACCATACTAAAGCTCACACCAATTTAAATCTAACAATGTAATGTGAACTCACATGCAAATTACACAGCTCTGTTTCACTTCGGACTCGAATCAAGCTATTATCATACTGTAAATTTTTCAATATCTTTCGGATGGTTTTTCGAGGCGGCAAAGAAGAATATTTTATTAATAATATTTTTAATATATTCAGCATCTAAAAACTTAACAGTGGGGCTGTATAAAAAAATAGACAAGTTTTAAATGCTAAAAAACTAAATTGATCTAACAGACAGAAAATTTACCATTCGAAAAACGAAAGCCTAATTTTGGATTGCATGTCTGTGTGCGAAAGCCTAATTTTGAATTGTGTAAACGCGAACCTCACTATAGAAACTTTCACGACATAATTTCCATACTACATGGATATGTGAAATCTTTCAGGTGATAAAATGTACAAAATGCTTGTCAGCGTCTTGAACCTAAGACGCGTTTGACCTAAATATAGTATGAGTGTGTTGTGAGATCAAAATCCTGACCAAACGGCAAAATAATCCATTTTTTCTTCGGTGGATTTTACTCGCATGAACTGATAATCCTATACACTTTTTCGCGGATCGCCGACCAATCACATTGCCAGTTTTAGGTTTTATGCTACAGTTAGGATAAAGTAGGCTTCTTCTCAGCGTTATATTCACTGGGTGTGAGTGAGCGAGCGGAGTGACCTCAGGCCAGGACTACACTGTCACAGTTTCTGTGATCACAGGCAAATTCAAAGTTTTAAATATCATGTAGTGAATATTAGGATGAGATAACTTCGTATTAGACAGTTCCCTCCGATATTTTCGACTAATCTTTTAAAACTTATAGGATTAATTTGTTGTTTGAAAATTCCAACTGTGATCACAGAAAATTTGATTAGTGTAAACCAGGCTTAACAATTCGTGCGGAAATCTTGTGATACGTATTTTCCACCATTACTCCAACTGTCCCACCATTGCTACCTTCAGTAGAGGAATGTCTGCGTTCAAGTGTTTGTCTTCTGGGATTTTGACGTGATTTCTCCGATACAAGCAATTCACAAACAAGCTACTCTATCTCTTCACATCTTTAAGATTCCTTTAATACAGGAATAGTAACCGTCAGCGTCTGTTAAGAAATAAATGCATAGTGTATAAATGTATATAACATCCATTTACTTATATTTATATCATAAAAAAAACACATTAAAACAAATTTGAGAAACCAAATACAGGACCTTTTTAAGAAATCGTAAGTTCAAAATAGCGGAGTCAGAAAAAGCTATCATTAATCACTAAATATTCCTTGATCTTATATAAGAAAGCATTTGATCTTAGCTTGAAATATATGGCATTAAAAACCAGGCTTTCAGAAATTTCAAATCATATTTAGATAACAGAATGCAAACTTGTGTATTGCAAGATATAAAGTCAGAGACAAAAAAATGTGGTGATCCACAAAAATCAAATCTAGGACCACTATTGTTTTCCCTCTATTTTAAGTGATCATTTTAACCGTCTTACACTGTGAACACTAATGCATGCGTTGTCGCATCTAGAGGGCAAATTTAACGTAGGTATAGTATAAATAGTACAAAATACAAATTTTGGTTAAATTAGAGAAATATCAACTAATGTAGCAAAGAAACTTTGCTTGTTAGATTGTCGACCATATGGAGCATTTTTTTTTAAAGCGTTAGAAGGCAATTCTGGCTACTTTTTCGCTTATTCAAAAACTATGGGAATGAAAGTGTACAATAAGAAAAAAAGTGACGAGCTTACTTTAGTTTTTCTGTTAAATTGAGCTCCACCAGATTCGTAATCAACAAGATGATCAAAAGTCAGGTCCAAATGATATTTCTTACCAGGAACATCAAGAATAAGACGATCATCCCCAACGTCTAATACTGTGCCGTTCATAGATTTCTATAGAAGATAAGTATGAATTAACACACGGCTATCTTAACCTTGAACAAAGAAATACGATTCGCTACGAAAAGGGCGAAGTGGTAGACAGATTTTAGAAATATTGCAGGAAAATGATTTACAAAAAGGCTTCTTAAATACAGCAGATTTCTCGCGACAGGAATGCCAGTGATTAGTCCAGAAAGTTCGGACACAATTAACATTCTACATTAAATTCTACATTAAAAAAATCTGTATTTTTCTTGCATTTCCAAGCCAACTTTTTAGCCGTTTATCACGCGTCGAAATGGTAAATATGCAATAACAATTACCCAAAGAACTTCGATATGCCTTCATTAACAAGAGACAAATATTTTCCGTGTTTCTATTGTTACGAGACGGTCCTTTTAATTACTAATGGTTCCGCTTTTGGTTCAATTCGCTCGCAACAAAGTTTGTGAAACCGATTATACTTTTCAATTATTTATTCTTTGGTACTAAACTTACATACTTAAACAATTAACGTCTTTATAACTTTAGATGTATAGCTAATACTATTATATAATACTTTTATACGGTTTGCTAGGGGAAGATACTATAAAACTATGACATATTTTCCCCACGCAATACAGCTGGAATAAGCAAGTATATAGCAGCGTGATGAAGCGAGTAAACAACAACAGATCGGTTAGTCCCAAACCAAGCTACGTTTTTGGTTTGCGGAACAAGGTTCTGCGCAACTATTTCCTTACTCATGCATGTAAGGTTAACTAATGTTACTCTATATTTTTACATGATTATTGATTATTATTATATAATATGCAGTGTTTTATTGACGAATCCGCCACTTTGAAAAGCGATAATAACACATGTGCGATTATTCATGATAGTAACATACGTGCGATTATCGTGTTTGATCCACCGATCCGGAATCAGGAGGGGGAATAAAAAACTTTTCAAAAAAACAGTTTTTCTCCCAACACTCGAAATAAATTCCATATTTCAGCGCATACATGCATGTGTTATTCTAAGCGTTCCTCTGTCCGTATACAGTTCATGGTCTTGAAAGAAAGTCGGCTATGACGTTGTCGCTCCCTTTGATATGTCTAATGTTCATATTGTATTTCGACAAGATGAGACTCCAACGGAGCAAACGTTGATTCTTTTTCTTTAGTCTATGGATGGAAAACACTAGTGGATTATCATCGGTGAACACTTCAAGTGGAACGAGGGTCGATAAAACATATACGTCGAAATATATCCAAGGAAAATAGTCCAAGGATGAGGGCAACGCCCTCGCCATCTTCCTGTAGTAATACGGTGCCTGCCGCGCTGTCACTTGCGTCAAAGGCGAGTTTAAATGGTCAAATAAAATATGGAGCTGCCAAAACAGGGGAACACAGCTTTCGGTTGCTCGAATGCAAACTTGGCAACGTGTGGTCCAAACAAACTTTACATCGATTCGGAGCAGTGCCGTTAGGGGTTCGGTAATGGCCATGTCGAGGAAGCGCATAACTTGTTTCTTGGTACTAGGCGGTGAGAAGTGTTACATGATACTCAATAATCATGTAAAAATATATAGTAACCTTATTTAACCTTACATGAATGAGAAAGGAAATAGTCGCAGAGAACCTCGTTCCGCAAACCAACAACAAATCGGTTAACCCCAAACCAAGCTATGTCCGTTACGCTGTGGTTTGCGGAACGAGATTCTCCGCAAGAAATAATTCGAGTTCTCCCAAACTTCTACAAGTGTTTCTATTTAACAATTAGACAACGAGTCCGAGTAGTCCGAATAATTGATACACCGAAAAATAATTCAATTTTATACGGTCGCACGAGCGAAATTTTCCAAAGCGTGCACCATCACGAATAGACAATGGTTGAGTAGCCAATCAGAATGTAGGATTTGTAATAGACAATAGTCGGGTGTATACTAAAACTGTATAGAAATACAGGGAAACGTTTTCTATTCTTATATATATACATATATATATTCTATTCTTATATATATTCTTATATATATTATTTAGTTTTCTTTTATAATGTAAGGCAATAAAAAGATTTTATACAAATATTATATTTCGCTTCAATTACAAATTCTCATTACATAACTTTGCTTGTCAAGTTCGGCGGAAAAACTCCCGTTTTTCTATACAGTTACACAGAAACACGCTTCCCAAACCAATCAGCACGCGTTTACTATAAAATAATGTTATATTTTAAACGTAATTATGTACGGTTGACAGATATGTACGTACCACCCCAGGTAAAGAAACTTCTAGGATCAAATACTCGGGTGAACTTGTAGGAGGTTCCTGTAATATCCTGTAAGAAGGTTCGCATGCAGCGTCACTTTCTATTTTAGCCGATGGCGGCGCTAAAGGTCTAGACGATACTAAAAAATAGATTAAAGGTTTGCATACTGTACTGTACAATAGGTTTTGGTCATGTTTAGGGTTAGAATGGGATTCATATTGTGTCACTTTTGGATTTCATGTATCAAACACTCATTCTCCTTTTACTTTTTAGGATATCTTCAGTGCCTTTAAAATAGAAGCTATGATACCATAATTACTGCCAAAACGTCACTGTTTTCAACTAAAGATCACAGGATTAAGAGTATATGTTCTGGTTTATGTCCCAAACATCGTTCTGCAACATTTATTTTTACGAAATAAATATGAAAATAAGACGATAAACTTATAAGACAAGAACGAGGATGCTAAAATCCAAACCCCGTTCTCATGACATGTGTATGTATTTCTACATCTACAGCTCAAATATAAAAATATTTTTCATGCCTGCATCCGAAAATGTTTTAGGATCTTTCCACATATCGTGAGAATAAAACTCGAAATATTTTTTTTCCTTTCAGATGAAGTTATGACGTCAGTACTGATAAGCTACTGAGGTACGTTTTGAGGGTTTTGGTCACAGTAAGAACTCAAAAAACCTCCGTTGGATTTCGAAATTAGATGTTTGCAAAGAAATGCATGAAATATGTCACATATCAACCATATACATGTAGGTCAGTAAAACTGAAAATTTCACCGCTAATCCTAGCTAGACAGCCTGCATACGTACCTTCATTTAATCCGAGATCGCCTAGCTGATCCATTTCCTGAATGACAGGCTTGCTTCTATTTCGTATTCTATGCTTGTTAATATCACCAATACATTTCTTATTTTTTAGCATTACCCAATCACGTGACAATGTTGTATTGTATTTACTTTCTATTCCTTCATATACAACAGTCATAAAAAATCCCATAAAAAAGTTGTTGGTTCTTAACTTTGAGAGAAAGGCGTCGTTAATGACAACATCATAAACGGTACAGCCTAGAAAAATGATGAACAACAATTAAAGGCAGAAGACAATAGGTACTGTGGAAATTGGCCAGTAGATTAAAGAAAAAAAGTTTAGGCTACATTGATAGCATGGATCCACATTTTTGTGACATGGGCTAATCCTACAATAAGGTTTATCATAATTCATTGTTAGAATTTGCACAGAGACAGCACAAAACTTTATTCTGTGTCAAATATGATCCAAGCGTAAGGTAATACCACGACAAGTAAGGCAATTTTTGATAGGGCAAAGGCTATTTGTGATAAGATCAAGGCTTTTAGTCAAGCTTATATCTATAAGGCTGACAGATTATTGCATTTTTACTTCAGAGAGTCCAAAATCTAAATGTTTCTTGGAGTGAGCTTCCATAAATATAGTGTACAAATAAGGTCAAGTTGGTTCAATGGCCAACATGTACAGTACTTTCAAGGATTTAAGCCAGATAGGTTGGAAAAAATAATTTGATGGGCAAACCACAGCTGGTCGTGACTAATATCACTATAAAATAGATTTATTACCTTATCACTATAAGATATATTTATTAACTATTTAAGGAACAATTATAGAATACCTGGGCAACACAATTACCTTGATGCCTGCAATGTTACTAAGATGCATGAATTGGACTTTATATAATAGAGTACATCAATAGTATATAGTGCTTTCAAAATGCAAATCAAATTTACATGTTAAGTTGATAAATAGGCCAAGAAAATTATCAATCAAATTTCCCAGCAAGGAAAAAAGCTAGCAAATTGGTTGACAAGGATTTTCGGCCAGTTGTTGTCTGTTGACCAGCCTTTATTTTGAGCCCCTATGAGGACAGTCATAATCCATGCAAATACAGTAAGTTGTGGAAACATTGATACCCTGTTTTCACTGTTTGGTAAGTTTCTATTTGGTTCTTAATTAAATTTCTCATTCTATTGTTAGGTGTCACAATGGTTAGGTATAGGGTTAGCCATGAAGTATATATGTAGTTTAAAGATGGAAAGGCGATGTGACATTGCCTTAGGTACCACATCCACACATAACAAACTGCTGACAGCATTTAAATATGCTGTTAATCTTTGAACGAGTTATTTTATGTCAGGTACAAGTAAATTAATTAGCTTGTAGGTACACTGCATAATTTAGAATTTAATACTGCAAAGCTCTCGGTCTGTTAACCCAGGCATTCATCAGTGCAATAGGGCAGATGGCCCTGGTTAACAGACCGAAAGCTTTGTAGTAGTAAATACCTATGTGGCGTACCTGTAAGCTATCTACTTATATTTGATGTCACCATTGCAAACTTATAAGAATATTATTATTTTATATCATTTGAAAAGTATAAATAGTCAGTACGAGAGTTGTGTACCTTTTCCACTTTTATCCGTCTCTGCATGTGGGTCGCCAAGTGCCAGAGGAATCTTAAACTGAGTTGCATCCGGATCCTCAAGTAATTTCTGAAGTTCTGTCTCAGTGATATCCTTTGGAGAAGGTAGTTCCTCGCTCGATAAAATGTTCATAAAAATTTTCTCATTCTTCTCGTTTTTCGTTTTAATAACAAACCCAGCCTTTGGAAGAATGAATTTGCCATTGTCGTTCGTCGTTGGCGCTGTATTGTGACCGTCTTTTTCGAGCGAAAGCAACAAATTCTTGTAGAACTCTTCGTTTTCAATATACTCAGTATCGACCTCCATATTTGAGAATGAAATCTTAAAATGAAACATGCAATCTTATTGGCCAGAGTTTTCATCTCGACCAATAATATTAGCCGTTAGAAAATCTTTGTTGCGGAGGAATGGTTCAAACCATTCTCTGTTTCGGACTTTCGGCCAAAGGTTTGGGCTAAATTTTGACAAATATCGAATAATGTATTTTCCAATCGTGAATGCGTTGTATAACATGTCCATTAAAATGAGAAATTGATTATTTTTTAACATCAAATTTGCTTTTTTCACCACGTTTTACGATAGAATTCGCACATATTTGATCACTTGTTACATGAAGTATAGCGGACGACTGCAGGATTTGTTTATCAACACAACAGCAGAAACAAATTATGGACACAGAAAGAAATAAAATGCAACTTTCAGATGAAAAATATTTAGGTGAGCCATGCCAAGAGATGTTTCCTCTAAGATCTTATCTACGCAATGTTTATAACTTTTGTTGTAAATTATATTTTCCTACATTTATTCTCTATTACTCAAGTCTCTATAAACAGTGTCTATATAGACAGACTAGTGAGACTATCATATGCCAGTAGATTAGGCTGGTGTTAGGGATATGACAATACATCATAGCATGTTATCAGTGAGATAAACAAGAACTTGCTAATGTCTATTAATTATTTTACTTTTGTAGCCAAGCACAATGTCTTGATATATATCCAGGTTTGTAAATTGTAAAATTTTATCAGCTAGTCAACCTGTAAGAGCAGTTTTTACCATTATGACAATTATATCAAAACACTGTCTCAAACCGGTCTGGAAGCTTGCTGCAATTCTGATTCTAATAATACTGTAGCATTTTTTAAGCATATGCACATGCCTAACATAGACAAAAACATTTTTGGATTTTCTCGTAAATATATTAATTATCTGTGATTATGTCTTTGCACAGGCTAATATACCTAGAATTGTTACATATTTATTTGCTTTGTACTAGGATGCTGTCAGTCAGTTGTTACAACACAAAGAAGATAATCCTCACATTGTGCCAGCGAAATTCCTTAACGACTAGTAATTATAAAGAATGTTATTTTCATATTTAAAAAATTAGACCTAGTCTATCCCATTAAGATCTAGCTATTGATTATGAAAAAACCTTCAAATTGTTAGACCAATTGGGAGTTTTATACTTCAATTGGATTATATGTCTACATGTCAGAGACACATCCAGCCAATCACAAACTGATCGAATCTCAGTGCATATGAAAGTTCACACAATCACAGATTTATTCATTTCAGTAGTCGCTGGCCACAACTGTTGCCACATCATGAGCTGATTTTTCATGATATAGTAAAAAAAGAGGCCCAGTACTCCATATAAATTTTCAAGTTCAACCAGTACTCTTCCACAATGTTCCTGTCTTAAGGATACTTTATGGGTGATTGTGTGACAATTAGGAACAATTTTGGCTGTTTGAAATGAAGGCCCTATGCAATAATTTAAAGTAGAGAGAATAGGAGCTCGTACACATCAGAGCATTCGTAACTTATCACTCGTTTACATCTTTTAAAAGAAGAAAATCGCAGCAAAACTTACAAGTGTACTTTTTACTTGCAATTGCATTTGCAATTTTTGCTTATTACAGCAGTAATTTCTTCTTTTGATAGATGTTAACGAGTGAATTACATAGTTACTGATGTTCAAATAAGAGCTCTTATACACCAGAGAATCCTTAACTAATTACTCGTTCACATCTATCAAAAGAAGATAGTGTAAATGGGCCTTTAGGATTTCTATGCCCAGTGCACTGAGTATACAGTAAATTGAAGCCTTAATACGAATAACTCCAGAGGAATTATTACAAATTATTTTAGGTTAACCGTTAAATTTGATTATTTGAATCAAGTTCAAGTTAACGCAAGGTCAAGAAACTTAAATGAGACATGTGCTGCAAACTTTTCCTTTACATTTTTTCTAGTTTCAAGTGCGTGGTTCAAGGAAATCACACGTTATACCGCGAGTACAGTTTTATTCACGCGACGCCTCATAACCGCAGTTCATTTATCGCCATCTTTTGGAAATGCTTCAAACACATCGGACAAAGTGGAGGTAATATCAATTTAGATATTTTTTATTTGTAATAAACATGTGCAAAAAACAGCACATGTCAATAATAGGATACTGTAGATTTCTCCAGCTGATTTCTCCAGCCTTCCAGGTGTATGATCACTGGAGCCCAGTTCTGAAATTGAAAACCGCAAAGAAATTGCAAAATTTATATATTCCCGTGAATCATAAAGAAATTGTGTTTAAAACAGTACTCCCCCCTATTCAAATAATATATTGCTTTTTGCTATTTGTTTTATTCCGTACAGATCTGCTTAGTGTGAAGGAATACCATTCATTATTGTCACTCATATGTTCTGACTTTCCATACGAGATCGTTCAAAAATCCGCGAGGTATATAAAGGAAAAAATACACAGTGTATCTAGGGATGGTTTATGTTTGTCTGGGCATGTGTGCCCAGTTTCATAATTACAGTCAGTGACGCACGTTACTACATGACTTCAAATATACTCAAGCCTGCAGGCAATTGACCGTCGAATATATGAAACTGGACACACATACTTAGGACTACCTAGGATGTGAGTAACAGCTCAAATTTTGTATGAATGTAGAAATGATTTCCCAATTATAATTGTTTTGGTGTACTAGCTTCCAAGGGCGTCTGAAGTGGATTTAATGTGTAAGACTCTACACTCTAGGTAGACTCACAATATTGGCATCTAGTTCTATTAACAAGCACTCATCGCGTAATTTCGCATGACCAGCAAGCCCTGACCATGACGTACTGTATAATCTGACGTACAAGCCTCATTTCTGTTTTCAACTTCATAGGATTGTTTTAATGGAAGATGCAATGGACTGCCTCATGTCTTTCTCTGACTTTGTCACCGCTTTTCAAATGCAACTTTATTACGAAGGTAGGATGAAAAGGACTGGAACTAGTTGTCAAATAGAAATTCATTTCTCGATTAAAACAAACTAATATCTCTTGAAATATTACATTATTTCCGTTCGAAGTTTTTATCGCGAGATCACCTGGTTGTTTGCCTGAATCTTTTTTTAAATACCAGTCTAAATTTTCGATCAAATGAAATTTTCACCTAACTTTCTAAATTTTGACCAGTCAAGGAAATCTGCGTTACAGTCGAATTCTTACAATTGAAAGGAAAGTCAGGCAAAGAATTTCCTCCCATCAAAATATTTCGTCCAGTGAAAGACCGCCCTAACCTCACCGACCTGAGAAAGCGTGGATTTCTTTAGCTTCCCCATGCCAATTAATGAAACTGGTAGAAAACATTTGTATTTGAGTTCCAATAATCATAAAAAACTCTTCAAAACGTTTGCGTTGTTGTTACAATGATTGGAAAGCACTTGGCTACCGTATATGCTTCGATTTTTAATATATAACTTTTCCAGACTTTTCCTAAAAACTTTGAATTTACCTTTAATTAAGAAATCTCCTGCAATTTGCAAGTATTTGCAATGCACGCTTTATAATTGTCTTTCTGACATATACTCATGACTAGCTATAGCAAGTCACAACCTTCATTTAAAACACGCGTGTCATCGTGTATCGTTTCTTAGAGTTTTTGGCAAAATGCAGTGAAATTTACGAGGAAGTCGCAAGTGGTTCGCATAGATCTGGTCAAGTGGTCGTCGTTCCGACATCTGACTCTAAATCCAAACACCGTAAGAGTAACGAGAAAGTTTCGCAGTTGGAAGCAAGTCAGAGTTTGGACGGAGTCGATTCCATCTCGTTTTACGATGAGATTTTACACCATGTTGTACATCACAGCTCGACGGCAAACACAATAAGGTACAATTTTTCCTGATCGAATCGCTGGAGTCTTAGCTTTTTCTTATCTCCAGGTCATTGCTGCTGCCGCTTGGCTAAGGCCTGGGTTAAGCCCCGGTCAAACGAGAATGAGAGTTGCAACTTTCGCCATCGTTTGACCGCAAACACTCTCGTCAACTCTCATCGACTTTGAACTGGTTCAAATTTTTCAAAAGAGCCGATGAGAGTTCGGGCTGGTTTGGTCGGTGATGAGAGTCGCAAAACAGCTGGCGTTCTTTGAGCATGTCTACGATTGCTGGCTGTATCTACCTCTGCAAGTTTTAATGCCTCTGGATAACCAATAAATTGATAGACAATTCTCATGGCACGGTATTGTAGGGATTCGAGTTCCTCCGACAAATAATTATGGAGTTAATTATGATAAACTGGGCAAGCGTACTCTATAATGGGACGGATACATGTGGTGTAAACCAGTTCTTTGGTTGCAACGCCTGCTCTCTTCAACTATTTGAGAAAATAGAGTCTTATAGAGAACTTTCGTGATATCTCAGCTACATGGCAATTCCACCTCAAATCATTCGAAATGTTCAAACCAAGCAATATAACATTCGTCACCGTCTTAACGGCATTCTCGTTGATGACAATTGGGTTGAAGTCAGCGCTAATTTTAGCAAACGAGATTCTCATTACTTTACATTTACTTTGATTTAGGTTTAACTTATTCTCGCTCGATTTCATTACAATTTCATTGACCGACTCTTGAATCCTGCTCGCCTGACTCTTCGCAACGGACTCTGAAGTTGTCGTGTCATCCACGCATTTCCATAATTCGGAATTTGTGGCATCAATATCATCGATCATTACGAGATAAAATGCCATGGACCCAGCTGTTTGGTCCCTTGAGGGACTCCTGCTGGGATATCACCCCATTCGGATTTGCAATCCTGAGCAAGTTTAACTCTTAATTCGCTTACGATCTTTAAGAAAGTCTATTATCCAAAAGCTTTCTTGTAGTCAAATAATACAACTCTTACTGTTGCACCAGTTTCGTCGGTATGTTTCGTCCACAAATGCACCATACTCAACAGAGCTTGAGTTGTTGAAGATCTAGTGATGCATCCAAACTTGTGTTCCCTGATCTTTTTAACGACCGCCGGTTGCACATGCTCCTCGACCACAAACTCCTCTGCAACTCTAGCAAACACCGGTGTTGATGAAATAGGTGGAAGATCTTTGTTAACCTCTTGGACCGGTTTTTGCTTAGGAATAGGTACTATATCCGCTGTTTTCTATACTGGGGGCAAACGACACTCACTAAAAGAGCAATTGATGATGTCAGATATAGGATCCGTCAACAAATCTGCATTCTCTTTTATGAGCCAAGCCAGTATGCCATCGGGGCCGGTGGCTTTCCTTAGATTGAGAGAGGAGAGCTTAACCAAAACATTATCACGCGAGACCTGGTATGGTACAGCATATGTATCTTCTTTCAGGGGTTCGTACTCACTTGGCAAGGGATCAAAGGTGCTCATTAGTGATAAAAACTCCTGATTGATCGTGTTAGCTAAATCTACTCCATCGGCAGTCTCTTCAAGGTGATGAATGAGATTTAGAAGATCACTTTTACTAGATGATAATAAACCGCTAAGTTTCTTCACTTTACGCCACAATAATGATGGTTTACAGTCTTTCAGGTGAGCCACTTTGGCGTCATAGTATCTCGTTCTACAGATCTTGCGTTCACGATAACGCGATTCCTCACGAGACGAAACAATGGCAAATTTCCTTTGGCTGGAGCACGTTGGCAGCGTTTAATGACATCTCTCACTTTTGGACTTATATCCAAGGGGGTTCACCAGAGTATATGGTCTTAGCTAGATCGCAAAGGCATTACAAAGTCCAGTCCCACTTGAAAAATTGATTCAAGATTTGAAAATAACAAGTTGTCTGGTTCGATTTTAAACGGTTGCATTTAAATTGCAATTGTGTAAATATGGCGTGAAAATTAGTGAACAATTCCTAATATTCTCATATTTTCCCTTCTCCAGCATACCTCCTACCGAAGCGCTGAAACAAATACTTTCATCAGCTGATCGTGTAACATTCTATGGCTTCCTCATGGCATTGGCTAAAAATGATCTCGTTAATCAAACCATCGGTATGTCTCTTTTATATCATTGGCAAGTAGAGTTGTAAACATCAGGGGCTAGACCAGCGTGCTGATTTACCTAATTCTTTCAGGTGCAGTGTCGCAGAAAAATCGAATCGCGGACGACGATTCGTCAGATCGGTGTAAGTATGTCTGCTCGACTGCATGCCTGCACGCCTGCATGACTGAGCTGCATGGGACCACCGTTGCTCACGTCATATAGGTCCTTGCTCTCATGCATAAATTTGATATTGTCTGTCTGTCTGTCTGTCTGCCTGTCTGTCTGCCTGTCTGTCTGTCTGTCTGTCTGTCTGTCTGTCTGTCTGTCTGTCTGTCTGTCTGTCTGTCTGTCTGTCTGTCTGTCTGTCTGTCTGTCTGTCTGTCTGTCTGTCTGTCTGTCTGTCTGTCTGTCTGTCTGTCTGTCTGTCTGTCTGTCTGTCTGTCTGTCTGTCTGTCTGTCTGTCCGTTCGTCCGTCCATTTGTTTGTCCGTTCGTCCGTCCGTCCGTCCGTCTGTCTGTCTGTCTGTCGTGTGACAGATTTAAAAACTTTTTTGTTTCAATTTTTGCCGTTGATCATGCATGTATAGCGTTGAACTATAGCAGTTAATGTTTCAGGTTTTATTACTGTTCACTGGTCCGTCCTATCTCTCTTTACACCGTCTGTCTATCGGAAACCTTTTTAGACATTCTTAAATCCCCCACAACACGCATTTCGATCAAACCTGCCACATAAAACATTACTTGTCTCACTGAGCTATATAGTCATTTCTGAAGGAAATAATTCTTTATTTCAGTAACTTTGTCCGCCATCTCCTTGAAGAAATTGGCGGATTTAGGCCAGATTGACGCCACGTAGTCCTTATTTGCCATTTTAGTTACCACTGACCAGGCTCAAATCTCAGCCCGTTTCGAAAACATCTCCCTCCCGGATTTTTGGAAAATTTTTATGTAGTGCAAGATGTATACAAATCGTACATGTTGTTTTGTTTTTACCAATTTTTAAGGACAAATAAGTTTATAATATGGGAAAAAAGTCAAATACCTCACCGGTAATTGGCGTTTTTCATGCATGTTTCTTTTACAATGCGGATGAATTTCCAATTGATTAGTAAACTTATTGAAGAAACGTCAGGAATTTCTTATTTTTTTGTATCTCAAAAATTGTTTGGATCTTTTATAGAGGTAAATTGAACTTTTCTAAACTGTAATGTATTTATCGACATTTTTATGTGCAGAAAGCATTAAGGTTTCCTAAAAACTTCATGGGTATAAATAATTTAAAGAAACGCGTGAAGATATGGCCAATGATACATGCAGTGTAATACTTGTGATAGTGTTTATCATGACTTATTTCAGAAGCTATTGCTGCTATGGTAGCAACTGGTATAGCTTTTTTACTGCAGCTGCATGTTTATATTCATATATTCATTTTACGGATTTTCAATTTCTTTCAAATTGATAGTCTTTACCCCCTGCTGATGTCGGCAATATAAGAACATTCCCCACCCCTCCCCCCGCGAATTATCGATGCTGGCTCTACGCCACTGTTTAGAACGTCAGTTTTACTGGCTTTGAGCTTTGATAGTTTATATACTAAAATGCAGACTCATAGAAAAGACGAAAATATTTTGAAACGATTAGTCGCTTACCTGATTTCCCTTCCGATAAACATAAAACATTTACAACATCACAAGTAGAGCCGGAAATCACTTCCTCGCTTAATTTGTAAAAGGGGGAGCCCGGAAAAGAAGAAACAATTTTAACTTCTTATTTTAAAAACGAAAAATTATAGGCGGGAAATATTCAACGAAAACACAAAAGTATTTTTTGTCAAAAACCTGGAGGGAGACGGACTCAATTTTTGTTTTTGTATTGTGTTGTGTCAGTGGTAACTACCATGGCCATTTAGGACCATGTGGCGTCAGCAAAGCCTAAAATCCGCCGTGTTTTTGCTTTACTTAATGATGGCGAGCACTTGAAATAGTATAGCTCAGTGATTCAGCTGTAGTATGATAGTAGCTTAATCGAAATGCTTTACTTCTGTTTAGAATGAATTAACTACCATGGCTGGTAAAACTGTTGTTTGTCAATATTATTTAAAGCGAAATGTAAATAAGCAATCACAGCGTTATTTATGTAAATTATAAATGCGTGATTGAAGTATATATAGCTGAAAAATAGGTTTGTACATAACGGTGAAAATTGAATAACAAAGTTTCAACTTCAGTTAAGGTCCCGCGTTTAAACTGCGATTTTTGCTCGTCAAACTGAAACTTTTTTCAATTAACTGGCCTTTCCAACAAAGTTGCAGTGGTAATAGCGAGGTTGAAATGCTCTGTGATGATGCATGCATGATAATGCATGCAGTTAGTGTTTTGTTTACATAGTCGAAACGGAAACATTTTCGCGTTGTACCTATAAAATATAATGTATTTGTTAAAAATTAATTGGAATGCATAAATTAAAGCTCTTACCCGCACACTAACGTGCAGAAAAGTTGCCTCCGGCCTCGCAATTATTAAAAGAGTAAAATCATTTGTACCGTACGAACTTACAAAATTTGTATAATTCTCTCGTGCTCGATCCCATATTTTTATTATTGTTCTCCTTTATGGGACAATTGTGGAAATTTACTGACTGAAAAATTGCAAAAACTACAAAATAGGGCAGCAAGAATCATGACAGGGGCCATTTGGGCCATGGTATGTCGTGGAAGAATCCTAAATGATAGATATAAAATGAATAAATCTGTATTGATGTTTAAAATACTAAACAACCACTGATCTCCCAACTTAAAAAATAGATTTATCACAAGGGAAACAAATATGAGCGAGTATTTATAGTTATAATCGTAGAGATCTGGGGACTGCACTATTGAACAGTTTACCAACGCAAGCAAAGCAAACAGAATCTTTAAGCAATTTAAAAAATGTGATAAAATAATGTAACTACTCAGGCATCGATTAATCTTAGTTTTTATTCTCTCTAATTTTTTGCACCATTCCCGAACCGGTGGGACCATAGAAATAGAATGCGTACTTATCACGAATACGTGTCCCACATTTTTTTCATGCTGTGCCCTTATAAATGCGCCATTTTGAATCTCGCGAGGAGTGAGAAATCTTTCAAAAAACTTTTAATTCAAAAATTAAATTTTAGGTAAAGGCGTATTTTACAGTCAATTATTAGCACGCAGAGGCGAAAATTGCCAAACCCAGTTCGGAATTAAAAGTTGCAGAACAGAAAAAGCGACAAGCGATAATTGACAACCGAGAAAGAGTCGATTTTCACCGTTGCATTAGCACACAGAAACAAACCAACGGCCTATCGCCATATATATTCATTGTTATGTAGGAAATATAGTTAGTAGAGAATGTTTATTGTAATAGGTTGTCAATTAGTAATTATTGTCTAGCAAATTTTTCAACTATACCTTGTTTTTGAGGTTTTCGCGTTTTTTACTACCGTTTGTTTACATAAATTGTTATTTGGCTTGAACTTGATTATTTGTCCCATGGCCTTGCTTTGATGCAACGATAAATGGTTGAAAACCTTTTTGCCTATAGCCACGAAAAACATATCACTCTGCATGTATAGATTTTTAACAGCTAGGGTTCCACGTAAACAGTGGCGGATCTAGGGGTAGTCAGAATAAATTACACAGCTAAATTTTAAATTCAAAACACCTTAATAGCAATAACGCTATTGGTTATGGATTAATTTAAAAGGAATATTTTTAAATGAAAATCTACCAACGCGATTGCGATTTTTAGCTGTAGTAATTTATTTCGACTACCCCTAGATCCGCCACTGCACGTAAAAACGAGCGATTTCTGCATAAATAGTTGAAGCCGTGGAAAGAGGAATGACTATGACTATATATTTTATTTCGCTTCTCGTGCATTTTGTGAATAAGAACACATAAAACGAGTTAAATACAATCATAAACATCATTTAGCGTAACTCAGTACCAGAGGAGATCAATTAAGTGTTAATTATTTACTCCACACTCTAAAAGTTATGCCTTGTCTTCGCGTAGGTAATTTTCATTTTTTCACATGCACAATAAATACTGCGTTATAATGTCGACTGCGAAGCAGGATTCCATTTTTTTTCTGTATTATGACTTATGTACGCTTGAAACAAGATTGATCGAAAGCTAGGAACAGCTATCAAACGCCGTGCATCAGTCAATTCATGAATGAAACAATGTAGTCAAGACCAAAACCAATTATGCTCCCAAAACAAAAACAAGCTTTTCTCTCAAACGTACTCATATCTCGCTCGTCGCGACCGCGCACAAAAAACTCCTCGCAGGAGTCTGAAACGAGGAAAAATGCCCTTATAAGTCCGCCATTTTTGAAGACAAATTTTTATAGGGAAGAGGTATCAGTACGCATTCTATGTCTATAATTAATTATTTCAATGGGTGGGACGCGTCGTGCGAAGGTACTAATTCCGCCCGGAGATTAGGAATTACATCCCGGTATATATGTGACTGAACATAGCGGAATCCCAAGTTGCCCAAATTGTATGTCATGGACAATGGACGTTCAATGTAATGGTCGTTTTTTTCTACAGCTGCGCGAAATTTAAACGAGTTTAAAAAACGGTAATCTACAACTTGCTGACTGGCTTAGACAAAAAGTTTGTATCTCAATGAGAACGTCAGCATTTTAACTGCCATTTTGCCGTAAACTGGAAATGAAATATTGAATCAAATAAAATTATATAAGCACTGGGAGGAGATTATCAGAAGAACAAACAAACAGTTAGTGAAATAGGAACAATTCGTTGTTTATATAATCCTTGAAGTGGTTGGTGTCTATTTTCAGTTGTTTATTTCCTGTTTGCTGTAAGAAATATGGAGTATCTCATAGAGAGTCGACTGCAAGCATTGCATAAATTCAATAATCGAAGAACAACATTCGACGTTTAGTGCTTGGGGATTTAATTTGTGCTGTTTTGATGTTTTGAAGGTTTAGCTATACACCTTTTGCCCGTCGTTAAACAAAAAAGAATGCTGTCCATATATTAAAACCATATTCGAAGACAGGATGATGCATGAACATTCGCCTCTTGTAAGAATCATGCAGTTAGCATATTCGTGTCGTCCTTCAATAACGCGTGTCTGTTACTGTATCACCTGGAAGTCTTGCGATGGTTTTAATGAGTACAGCATTCCGTCTAAGTGTTTACGAATTGTTTTTTCATGAACTTGTGGCTTTTCAGGCATTCGACGTCGTAATTCTGTATTTATGGCCCGCAGTGTCAAAGTGCAATATTCACCTACAATTCTTTACAATCAACTCGAACATTGCGGCGGCCTCCACGTGGTTGTTCTTCAAGTCGTCCTTCGCGCAGATATCGAGCGATTATACTCCTGGGGCCGGTTGTATCAAAGCCGGATAACTTTATCCACCGGATAGTGATTTTTTCAACCGTTCTAAAAATGTTCGAAAAGCGATAAAATTTTAGCTTGAAAGCAACAATTATTAAAGAGGATCCTCGATTTACTGAGGAATACTGAGATTTAATCAAAGTTGTGCCATATTACGGGCGATTTTGAAGCGATTTAAAAAATCACTATTCGGTGGATAGCGCTATCCGGCTTTCATACAACCGGCCCCTGGCAATTAACCGATTTTTAGCTAAGGTATCAGCCAAAGCCAGGTAGTCTTAGTTAGCCAGGTAGGTAACCAACCGTTCTTTGTCCTCTTGAATGTATTAAGCATATGAACAAGTTCTAATAAAGCTTAATAATTATTTTTGAAAACTGTGTGTTATTTTTAGAGAAAGAAAACTCCCAACTAGAAAAATAAGTATGGGGCATTACTGAATGGACTGGTTGGGACTTGTTGAATGGAGAATGATTTTGTTGTCGCACACCTCTTTGAAATTGCTGTTGCATCATGGCTAGCATCTCCCTTTGGAATGCAAGCTGGTCCTCTCTTGCTTTCCTCTCATGTTCCATCCGCTCTCTTTCCAGTTTTGATTGATTCATTATCCGCTTTTCTTCCAACTCCACCAGCTTATCCACAAAGTATATATCTCCCATATCAACCCTTTGTTTTTTTGTTGTTCAGTGCAAGCTTTGCCTTGTCCTTCCCCTTGCATGGTACAGGTTCGTCTGGCTGTTCATTGCCAGAATTATCTCATGCGTAGTCTAAATTTACAAGCCCTTTTGTTATTATTTTAAAAAAATATTGTGCAATTGTGAATAAAAGAATAGAGACAGAAGAGGTAGAGATATACTTTAATAGAGACATAGAGGTAGAGATATACTTTAATACTTCAAAATTATTTAAATCATCCGTATCATAAGTTGGTTTACTAGCAACTGGTCGATGGCCCCAAACACTGTTGGCTAGGTCATAAAATACCCACTCCTTTCGGGAACGTCCTGTCTTTTTAAGTTGTGTTCCCTGACATCACTAAAAACAAAACAGGGGTTAATACATTTATACCTCACATTTCTCGTGATGGAAAAGACAACCTGTTAATTATAGTATGAACTACATAAAAAGACTGAAAAATTTTTGTGCTTACTTAAATGTTGTTTTGAGTTTTCTGTATTTTAATCGAATCTTTTCGATATCCTTCTTGGGATACCCTGCCTCGACAAGACCACTTTGTATTGCGGTATAAACTTCTTCAATCTGCTTTCCACAAATAAAATATTAAAACAACATCAACAAAATTAATGAACTCAACAAACATTTAATTTTTTTCCTTATAGCTGCCTTTCAAATAACAAATGTTATTTCTATTGCTGATTACGATAGCTTGTTACATTTTTTTTTTTCTGTCTGTGTGTTTTTAAGTTGTAAATAATACTGAGAGAAAAAGTTGAAAGAGCAAATACCCCAACAGAAGTGACACAATTGTCCAGTTGTTCAGCAATTGCATTTTCTGCGCATATGACAAGAAACTTCCTCTCTTCTGACTGTGGCCACGTCGTTCGCTTAGCTTTTGGCGTGACTACAGACAGACAAGGGCCTGTTTTTGCAATGGTAACGGCAAGAATGTCGATGCAGTCAATACTGGACGCCATGTTTTGAAGTATAATTTGGTCGCGAAACCGTTTATACTGAAGCTTCCCGACATGAATTAGCCGCGGCTTATTTTGGACGAGCCCTGACTCCTCGGCTAATTTAGACCACAGCTTATTTTAGTCGCGAACAAATTGTCCGTTTATACGACTCTTCGCGACTTATTCAAGCCACGGCTTATTTAGGCCGCGGTTTATTTTCACTCGTATAAATGGCCGTAATGTCCCACACTAGAATAAAGGTTGTTAGCGAAGGGTGGGTAGGGAT